CATATAGTTTTAATATCACTTAGGATCTATCTCTGTGAATCTCCATACCAATGACACAAAAGACTTCACCCAAATCCCTCATATTAAAGTTTTGAGAAATAAAATGATTTTTCTTGCGTAAAAAACTCAAATCACTACTTGCAAGTAAAATTTGTGTGTGTGTGTGTATGTATATATATATATATATAACAAGAAAAATGTATTTGCTACCACTAATTTTAAGATATATACACATCAAACAATAATGTTCTCAATAAAACCACAAGAGATAACAACACCGTAAAACGTGATATAACATTATTAGAAGGCTTGCTTTAGTCTATATATAATTTTTTTTAGTTTACAAACCAAGTAGTTATTTTTTTCATAACAAAAATTATCCGGGCGATTTATGTCCATCTCTTCAAGTTTTCATTCAAAAATGTCATTTTTACATCTATATGATGTAGTTCTATATCAAATTAAGTTATATATGCCATTATAATTCGAATGAATTTTATTAAAGATTAGAGAGAATATTTCATAATAATCTATGCATTTAGGTATAAGCCTTAGTAATAAGTCTAAGTTTATATTGCTCAATGTTGCCATAGAGAGATTGACTTAGCGTGCTAGCTTGTAGATAAGAGAAGGAAGTTTTATGTGCGACATTGACTAAAGGTGCTTTGTTACTCACACCGTTAAGCAAGATTTCATGCACCAAAAGTTGGTCATCAAGTTCATAAAAAGGTAGTTGTTTGCCTCGAACGGACAAGACATTGAATGTGTTATGATAATCGGACCCTAAGATTTTCTAAATGATGGAATTAACTTTCGAAGTGGAGAGTGGAGTATGTACCAACAACTTTAACTCATCTAAAATTTATTTTGTCTCCTAAAAAAATTAAGAAATAATTTTATACTTCATAGCCGACTCTTACAACTCAATGTGAAGGTCAAACTTTTTCTTATCGAAAGCTAACGAAAAGCATGTGCAAAATGCCCATCACACTTGATAAGAGTTCTTTAAGCCCACCACATAAGTGAACACATTATCTACAAGAGAGGACAATAAGCAAGATATAAGAGTTTGATCATTGTTGAGCCATTCTTAATAAGTAGGATTTGGATCCTGTAAAAATGTTCGAGAGTTAGAGAAAAAAAAATGGAGAATATATAAAACCATCAACAAAGCCTTTTAAATTGTGAGAGTTTAAAAAGAGTTCAAACTTTGTTATTTAAGGTACATAATTTTTAGAGTTTAGTTTGATAGTAAAAGTGATAATTTTTTAAGGTTAGTTTGATAGTAAAAGTCATACTAGACTACGAATTTAATAGAGTTTGTGAGGTAGAAAAGGCCTTGATAACATATTTTGATATTAAACCGAAGAATAAAAAAAGAGATATATATATATATATATATATATATATATATATATATATATATATAGCTCAATGTTATCCTTCGGTATTCATCAAAATATATAATCATGAATGTATTAAAGACAACTATTAACCCATAAATAGAGTTTAGTATTGTCTACCATGTCTTAATACTCCGTTTAAATTACAAAATAATAAATATACATGATAAACAATAGAAAATATCCACTTTATAGACAAAATAACTATCTTGAGAAGTAGTAGAATTTATGTTACTTTCCAATAAGGATCAATTAATTTAAATTAACAAAAATTTACATGTTCTTTTGCTAGTTTGACTAACCTCTTAAGTGGAGTATTTATTTATTTTCTATTGAATCTTAAGCAAGTTATTTAAACTTGAATGTTGGATTCATAAGAAAATTTATTTTTCTCAATCTCATTTCATATTCAAATACAAAATAATAACACAAGTTACAAAGAATAAACCAATTTAACATTGTGCCAAATATTTATGTAACGATACATTTCACATATTTAACATAAAGAGTTAAAGAATTACAAGAAAAACTAATTGGTTTTCCAAGCTATGCTATGGGCCGAACAAAATAAATTTATTTTAAGTGGTAGTTTGTACTAAAATATATAAAATTAAAGACTAAAAAAAAATTTTCATCTATTTTCATAATTTTTAATCAAAATTTTATATTTAATTTATTCTTCCTTATATTTTTCACAAATTTTATTGTTTACAAAAATGATATATTCTTCTTTATGCCTTCATTTTTAAATAAAAATCTCTAATGATCTAAATAGAAAATTTAATATAAAATTTTTAAAAGTCGTTATAATAATTTTTTTTATAAGATTGCATAAAAAAAACAATTAATTTAAAAACTTGTATAAAATTTAACAAAAGATTTTTTTATTGTTCTTTAATGTTGATAAAAAGATTAACTTTTTTTATAATATGTATATTTGATTTATATTTATTTATTTACAAAATAAATACAAGTATCTTGATTTATATGGACTTTCAAATGATTTTTTTAAGTTTTCTTTTGTCAGTCGTTCATAGTATGATTTTTTTCATATGTTTCAAAATCAAGAATCTCTTGTCACTATTTATCAATGAAAAAAACGGATAGATTGCACTACACTTATCAATGATAGAACTTGCTGCATTATCAAGTTTCATCGATGGAACATGCTTGCATTATCAAACCTCATAGATGAAAGTAACAAACTTACAATAAGGTGTTGAAATCTCCTTTTATTGACGGATCAGACATTTATATAACTTGAAATCCATTTAAGATCTGCAATTTCATGCTTTGATCCACTATAAATTGTCAATCAAACCTTTAGACGATACAAACAAAAATAAATAAAAAACTTCAAATATTAGAGACAAAAAACCAAGGCTTATTGTACTATAATAGCACGAACTATACACCTCTTAATCTTTATGGCATGTGTTATTCAAAAGTGAATGAAAAATACATTAATTATGCTTCGATAACTATTTTAGCACATAAGTCATTTTTCATTCAAGATTTTTGAGTTCATATGATATGGCATGACATGTAAGATGACACTATAGATAACAATACATGTTGGATAACCCGTGAATAATAATTAGAATTTCGGATTAAAGGGACGACATGTCACCCATTTATTCAAAACTAATTCCTAAAACTACATATCCTAATTCAATTCAATTCATAAAAAAAAAATCGTAATCTTTTTCTCATCTCTTCTCTATTGATCAACGAATAAGTTCAAATCCCTACTTTTCTTCTCTTCTTTGCCCAACGAATAAAAGCCACAATCTTCTTCTCTTTTTTGCACGACAAATAAAAACTTCAATCTTCTTGTCTTCTTTATTGTAGACTATTATAAAGCATCATATGACTTTGATGCCGGTGTTGAAATGGTGGCAATTAAGCCTCCATCCATGGAATCACTACTCACTAAAGCTTCATAATTCTTGTGAGATTTGGTTGCTTTTGGCTCTATTTTATCTAATAAGTTATGATTTATTTCTTCTAAATCGATTCATAGAGTATAAAAAATTCTTAATGTACTAGAATTATAATGGAAATATAAAGTCTTAATTAGAATTCTAGAATAAGATCTTTTCATTGCATGCTTTGGTGAATCGGCTATCTCGAGACCTTTTACAAGGGTTTAGTTGCCTTAGATGTAACCCTTCAAAAAGTGAAATTTTCGGATCCGGCTTCTTTTTTTTTTAAAAAAAAAAACTAAATAGATGAAGGTCATAAACATCTTTTACAAAGACAAAACAATTAAAAGAAAAATCACAACAAACCGAAATATTAAGACACGATAAAACAATAGCAATTATAAATAGTCTCTAATTCTACTCTAACGACCTTATAATATAGGAGTCAATAATATCAACGCTATAAAAGTATGCCCAAAACTCTTCAAAAAACCATTTCAGTTCGTAAAATAATCAAGAAAACCGAACACAAACCCGAGTCAAAGTAATTTGAAGCAACCAATCAAAGCCAAGCAACTAAATCGAATACCGAAGAGCACTTTGCTTTGCTAAATAATCAACCATGCCATTGTTTTCTTTGGAACGACTGGATACATCAATCAACACCAAGTCGCTATGGTTGATGTTCTTAGTGCTTTTTATGGGGATAATTTCCTCGACATGTTTCTAGTCAAAGCAAAAAGCAATTTCCTCAAACTATTGTCTTTATCTTTTGTCCTTCATAGAACGAAGCCTTTATAATGTTATGCATCACATGCTTTAGGTTTTTAAGGTTGTGTAGCATACTTGGTTGAACTAGAAGATTGAGGTTTTTGTTCATTGGGCAAAGAAGAGAAAGATATTAGGGATTTAGGCTTATTTGTCGATCGAGTAGAGAAGAGAAGAGAAAAAGATCAAGGATTTGGTTTTTTATTAATTGAATTGAATTAAATTAGTTAATTTTATGTATTGGTTTTGAATAAGTGGGTGACATATCATCACTTCATTTTGAAATTTTAATTGTTATTCACGTGTCATCCTACATGGATTATAATCCATGGTGCCATCTTACGTGTCATGTCATGTTAGATGAATTTAAAATTTTGAACAAAAAATGACTCTCGTGCTAAAATAGTTATCGAAATATAATTCATGTATTTTTTTATCTACTTTTAAAAAACATGCCATAAAAATAAAAAAGTATATAGTTCTTGGTTTTACGATACAATAAGCCAAAAATCAAATAAAACTAGAAATTTCATATCATATAGATCTACATTCATAGTTATTTGGACTATTGAAAATATCAGATTTAAAAAATAGATCAGGAATTATCAAGAAAAAAAGAGTGGAAAAAATAGGAGAAAGATTTAGGGGCTTATATATCTTTAGTATTTGTTTTGTTAGAAAACCTTAAGTGCGAGGTAATTTACCATCTCCCTGAACACAAAGAAATGGAAAGCTACTCTCAATGATAAAAGTCCAAAAGCCAATGTGTCTTTCATTGACAAAACAATCAAACTTGAAAAGCACGAATCCCCAGTAAGGATAAAACTTGATTAAGAATATTAACAGCCAATTAGCTAATTATAAAAAAATAATTAATAAAATAAATAAAAAGTACTGCTCTGCTATGACCCGTTACCAAACGGAATCGCTCTCTCAACCAATAGAAGAATTTGCAGTAATTATCAGACACACCAAAACCAATTTATATAAACTTATTGGTCTGCCAGTAACGGTTAAGTTTAAAAAACCAACAAGAATCCCAAATTTATGAAAAACAAAAGACTGATTAGCAAAACACACTCTCCACTGAGTCTGAGAGAAGAAAGGAAAAGAAACGAAAAGACCCTCCTGACTCCTCTCTCCTTCTTTCTCTCTCAACTTCTGTTGACGCGGGTTTCTTCTTTCTTACACTTTCAACTTTTCAGGTACCGTTTTCTTTTTCGTTTCAATTGTAGTTGTTAGGTATTGATACAATTTGTAGATAATAAAATAATTAATATATAGAGAGTAAGTAAATTATCATGATTGTGACGAGAGCCGTGATAATGACGTTTCTCTTGCCCTAGATTCTGTGACATGCACTTCTGATCCGATCTCCGTACCCTGTTTCTCTATTTCTACGATTATTATTACTATTTTTTTTGGAATAAAATTGAGATGTGATATTAGTCATGCACAGTCTTTTCTCTCTCCAATGCTAAAAGATCCAATTGAGACACAATTATTTATCTCTAATTCGCTATTTCTGCACAGTGAATTAGCCTGTGCTGCTACCTCAGGAGCTTGCATTGCTGTTTATAATTCAAAATTTTGGATTGGATGGTGATGATCGGAGCAAGAAGGCTGTTTTTTGGATAGCAAGAAGCGAGGGAGTTACTCTGGCATTTTGCATTGCGTGGCGTGGTGGAGGTGTTATGTTTGATTTCAAGCATTTTGATTGTGGTTTTGTTAATGCCAAGTGTTTGTCTGTGCCTTTTTTTTTCCTTCTTTCATTTCGTGGAAAGATTTATTGTGGTGTATTTGTTTGTATAATCTATGCTGGTGTACAGTAATTGGAGAGCTGAAGGTACATAAATTTGTTGAAGTTGGAACATAATGGCAGGTCTTGGTTTTCTAGTTAAAAATGGTTTGTGGGAATATGCGTCAAATTGGGATTTTGTTGGGAAATTTTGAAAATAAGAAGCAATGATTTTCGGTTTTTTTTTTTTTTTTTTTTTTTTTTTTTTTTTTTTCATAGTGAGTATTTACTCTGGGTGATCTTTTCAAATTGGGTTTGTTTTGCTGCTATATAATTTTGGGGATTTTACTTCTAAGTGGTTGATGTGCTTATTATTAATGAAATTGCAGAAGTTTATTAGGTGGAATATTGGTTCCATTTATTGCAGGTGGCCTAGAAGAAAGCTCAAGTGTCCTGTTGGTGCAAATGTCAAAGTTTCCCTCCTCTAAACTGCAAGAATCTACATCCTCATCTACTTCTGAGTCTCGGTTAGTATCCTTCTCTTAAGTGAAATTGGCTCATAAACTCTACATCATTCTGATGAATATCTTAGCCATGAGTTTACTTTTTATTCTCATCCTGCTATGAGAAACATATTGCCATAACTGTGTTAATATTTAGCCTAAAGAAAGGCAAGTGAAATGAAAATCAAAACAATCCAAGTCATAGAATATATCATCACCTTAACTGGTTTAATGTTTAGCTCTTGAGAATTAAATACTAATTAATTATGGGCCAATGGATTGGCTGATTATATATAGGGAACCAAATGGAACAACAGAAATGGATGACCCTGAGGATACAATGGCTGCAGTTGCTCGCTTCATTGAGAAGCTACATTCCAGGATATCTTCACCGCCTGAAAAAGAACTTGTAACAGCTCGTCTGCTTCATCTTGCCAAAGCAAGAAAGGAGGCAAGGACAGTCATTGGTTGTCATGCCCAAGCAATGCCATTATTCATATCCCTTCTCAGGATTGGTACCTCTGGGGCAAAAGTTAATGTTGCTGCAACTCTCAGTGCTCTGTGCAAAGATGATGATTTACGAGTGAAGGTGCTTCTGGGTGGGTGCATACCACCTTTACTCTCACTTCTGAAGTCTGACTCGGTTGAGGCTAGGAAGGCAGCAGCAGAGGCTATATATGAAGTTTCCTCTGGCTCGGTTTCAGATGATCAAGTTGGTATCAAGATATTTGCCACAGAAGGTGTGACACCTACCTTATGGGAACAGCTTAATCCAAAGAAGAAGCAGGACAAAGTGGTTCAAGGTTTTGTTACTGGGGCACTGAGAAATCTTTGCGGGGACAAGGATAATTATTGGAGAGCAACGCTTGAGGCTGGAGGAGTGGATATCATTGTGGGTCTTCTGTCTTCTGACAATGCTGCTGCCCAGTCCAATGCAGCTTCTTTATTGGCCCGTCTAATGTTGGCATTTGGTGATAGTATACCGAAAGTAATTGATTCTGGAGCTGTGCAAGCTTTGCTTCAGCTTGTGGGTCAGAATAATGATATTTCTGTTCGTGCTAGTGCTGCTGATGCTCTGGAGGCTCTTTCCTCAAAGTCAACAAAGGCCAAGAAAGCTATTGTAGATGCTGATGGTGTTCCCATTCTCATTGGGGCCATAGTTGCTCCTTCTAAAGAGTGTATGCAAGGGGAGTTTGGCCAGGCTCTGCAAGGGCATGCGACACGAGCTCTAGCAAATATCTGTGGCGGGATGTCTGCCTTGATACTATATCTTGGAGAACTATCACATTCTCCTCATCTTGCTGCACCAGTTGCTGATATAATCGGAGCACTGGCCTATGCTTTGATGGTATTTGAGCAAAATGCTGGTACTGATGAGGAAACTTTTGATGCAACCAAGATAGAGGATACACTAGTAAAGCTGCTGACGCATCGTGATAATAAGCTGGTTCAGGAACGTATCTTTGAGGCTATGGCAAGTCTGTATGGCAATATCTACCTCTCAAGATGTCTTGATCATGCAGAAGCAAAGAAGGTTCTTATTGGGCTCATAACAATGGCTGTTGGGGATCCACAGGAGTATTTAATACTTTCTTTAACCAGCCTATGCTGTGACAGGGTAGGCATCTGGGATGCCATTGGCAAGAGAGAAGGGATTCAGTTACTAATATCATTATTGGGATTATCCAGTGAGCAGCATCAAGAATATGGTGTTCGTTTTCTGGCAATCTTAACTGATCAGGTTGATGACAGTAAGTGGGCTATCACTGCCGCTGGTGGGATTCCTCCTCTTGTGCAGCTGTTAGAGGCAGGGTCTCAGAAGGCAAGGGAGGATGCAGCACATATTCTGTGGAATCTTTGCTGTCATAGTGAAGATATCCGCGCCTGTGTTGAAAGTGCAGGAGCTGTCCCTGCATTTTTATGGCTTTTACAGAGTGGCGGACCTAAAGGTCAAGAAGCCTCAGCTATGGCACTTACGAGGCTTGTCCAAACAGCTGATTCTACCACTATTAATCAGTTACTAGCTCTGCTTCTTGGCGACTCTTCTGGCTCAAAAGCCCACACAATAAGAGTTTTGGGTCATGTACTTACGATGGCATCACATAATGATCTTGTGCAAAGGGGATCTGCAGCTAATCAAGCGTTAAGATCTCTTATCCAGATTCTTAACTCCTCAGATGAAGAAACCCAAGAATCTGCAGCTTCTGTTCTTGCTGATCTATTCACTACAAGGCAAGATATCTGTGATAGTCTTGCAACAGATGAGATTGTGCATCCCTGCATGAAGCTTTTAACCAGTAATAATACTCAAGTTGTTGCAACGCAGTTAGCCCGAGCATTGGGTGCTTTGTCACGCCCAACTAAGACTAAAACTACTATGAAAATGCCTTATATTGCTGAAGGGGATGTCAAGCCTCTAATTAAGTTGGCTAAAACCTCTATTGGTGCTGCAGAAACAGCAATTGCTGCTCTGGCCAATCTTCTCTCTGATCCCCAGATTGCTGCCGAAGCGCTGTCAGAGGATGTTGTTGGGGCTTTGACAAGAGTCCTGGGAGAAGGAACTTCAGAAGGCAAAAAGAATGCATCACGAGCTCTTCATCAATTGCTGAGGCATTTTCCGGTAGGTGATGTGCTCAGCGGAAATGCTCAGTGTCGTTTTTCTGTTCTTGCAGTACTTAATTCCTTGAACTCAATGGATATGGATGGCACAGATATCACTGATGCTTTAGAAGTACTTGCACTCTTGGTGAGGATGAAACATGGTGTGAATTTCACTTACCTGCCTCGGGCTTTCCTCTCAGAAGTGCCCTCAAGCTTAGAGCCTCTAGTACTCTTAGTGGCTGAGGGCCCACCTTTACTGCAAGATAAGGCAATAGAAATTTTGTCTTGGCTCTGTGGTGATCAGCCAGCTGTGCTGGGCGATCTGTTGACTGCAAGATCAAGATCAATTGATTCTCTAGCCAATAGAATAATAAATTCCTCCCATTTAGAAGTGAAAGTTGGAGGGATTACATTGCTCATGTGTGCTGCTAAAGAACACACACAGCAGTCAGTGGAAGCACTTGATATATCAGGACACTTGAAATCCCTTATATATGCCTTAGTGGATATGATGAAGCAGAACTCTAGCCACTCATCTTTAGACATGCAAGTTAGAACTCCAAGAGGTTTTTTCGAAGGATCGACATTCCAGGAAGGAGATGAATTTGATGTTGTCGATCCAGCCATTGTTTTTGGTGGTACTGTTGCCTTGTGGTTGTTATCAATAGTCTCTTCCTTCCATGCAAAGAGCAAGCTCATCATAATGGAAGCTGGTGGACTTGAGGCTCTCTCAGACAAGCTTTTGAGTTATACTTCCACTCCACAGGTATGCCCTCATTCAGCCTCTTAAATATGGGGGCTTTGTGTTTCCAATGCAGCTCTGCCACAGTCATCATTTTTTTTTTTTTCACTTCTGTGGTGAATTACTTTGTTATTTGACAATTGCTAAGGGATATACAAGCAAATAAGCCTATGTGACCGAGATGTTATACTGATTATGTGATCTGTCTGCATGCATAGTTAGATTGTAAGAGGATATCACTGTAATGCCAAGCAAATGCTGGGCCACATCTGCAAAATATATGGTTGTTTTTTATGATTAGAGGAACTATGCAAATTATGTTGACAGAGTGAAACATGGTAAGCTAGAATCGTTTTTTTCTTTCTTAGCTACCCCCTCAATAAGTGAATTAATAATAAAAATAATAACTATGATGATGATGACTCTGCATGAAATAAAGTGTGATAATATGTGCCATTTATAGTTTGTGTCATAGTGACCTGTGAACCACATTTACTGTGAAATAACGAACCAGAGTGAGTTGGGAAATGAGCAGAGGAGATAAAAACATTGAAAAGAAAAAGAGGAGGTTGGGATCAGTGAGGTAGCAAATTTATTTGAATGGGTTGTGCAATTTAAAAGATAGGGAGTTTACATGTAAAACTGTTGTTCTTTGAATATTCTATAAACAAGAAAGTTAGTTTCTTCTGCTGTTTTTTGCAATTTTATATTTAGTGAGTTGGTACTTTGTAGACGACCGTGAGTAAAATTGGATTCCAGAACCATTTTGCTTAAGTTATGGTGGCTGAGCCTAAGAACTTTTCTTCATTCTCAGGCAGAATTTGAGGATACAGAGGGTATATGGATCAGTGTGTTGCTCCTGGCTATCTTATTCCAAGACCCAAATATTGTCCTGTCTCCAACAACAATGCGCATCATACCTTCTCTTGCTCATTTGATGAGATCTGATGAAGTGATTGATAAATTTTTTGCTGCTCAGGCAATGGCCAGTCTTGTTTGCAATGGAAGTAAGGGAATAAGCCTCACTATTGCAAACTCCGGTGCTGTTGCAGGCTTGATAACATTAATCGGTTTCATAGAATCAGATATGCCAAACCTTGTTGCTTTATCAGAAGAATTTTCGTTGGTACATAATCCTGATCAAGTTATTCTGGAACACCTTTTTGAAATAGAAGATGTAAGATTTGGTTCCACTGCACGCAAATCTATTCCTTTGTTGGTGGATCTCTTGAGACCGATTCCAGATAGACCAGGTGCTCCTCCAATTGCTGTTCAACTCTTACGCCATCTTGCAGAAGGAAGTGATGCAAATAAATTAATCATAGCTGAAGCAGGAGCTCTCGATGCTTTAACAAAATACCTGTCATTGAGTCCTCAAGACTCCACAGAAGCCTCTATATCTGAATTATTAAGAATCCTGTTTAGCAATCCTGAACTTATTCGGTATGAAGCATCACTTAGTTCCTTGAATCAACTTACAGCTGTTTTGCGTCTTGGATCAAGAGATGCTAGATTTAGTGCTGCAAGGGCTCTCCATGAACTTTTTGATGCTGAAAGCATTAGAGACTCCGAGTTAGCTTGGCAGGCCGTTCAGCCATTGATTGACATGCTTAATTCTGTATCAGAGAGTGAGCAAGAGGCTGCTCTTGTCGCCTTGATCAGGCTGATGTCTGGAAATAATTCAAAAAGAGTTTTATTTGTTGATGTTGAAGGTAATCCACTCGAGAGCCTATACAAAATATTGTCTTCTGCTTCGTCCTTGGAATTGAAGAGAAATGCTGCAGAACTTTGCTTTATTCTGTTTAGCAATACAAAATTCAGATCAAATGCAATTGCCTCTGAATGCATACAGCCCCTTATATCTCTAATGCAGTCTGATAACGCAGCAGTTGTGGAATCTGTGGTTTGCGCTTTTGAGAGATTGTTGGATGATGAACAAAAGGTGGAGCTTGCAGCAGCCAATGTTAACATAATGGATCTTCTTGTTGGCTTGGTTTCTGGAACAAATCTCCGACTTATTGATGGTTGTATCTCTGCTCTAATAAAATTGGGGAAAGATCGGGCCCCACGCAAACTGGATATGGTCAAAGCAGGTATTATAGATAAATGTCTTGTGCTACTCCCAGTTGCGCCCAGTTCATTATGCTCTTCAATTGCAGAACTGTTCCGCATTTTGACAAACAGTGGGGCCATTGCTAGAAGTTCAGATGCTGCGAAAGTGGTAGAACCTCTTTTTATGGTTTTGCTTCGGCCAGATTTTGGTTTGTGGGGACAGCATAGTGCCTTACAAGCACTTGTAAATATATTGGAGAAGCCACAGAGCCTTGCAACATTGAAACTTACTCCTAGTCAGGTCATTGAGCCTTTAATTTCATTTCTGGAGTCCCCATCTCAAGCTATTCAGCAACTTGGCACAGAACTACTATCTCATCTTCTTGCACAAGAACATTTTCAGCAAGATATAACGACCAAAAATGCAGTGGTTCCACTTGTGCAGCTTGCTGGAATTGGAATATTGAACCTTCAACAGACAGCAATAAAGGCACTGGAAAAAATATCCATTAGCTGGCCAAAGGTGGTTGCTGATGCTGGAGGAATTTTTGAGCTAGCAAAGGTTATTATTCAAGATGATCCTCAACCACCTGTTGAACTTTGGGAAACTGCTGCTTTGGTTCTCTCAAATGTTCTGCGTTTCAACACAGAGTACTACTTCAAAGTTCCTATAGTGGTTCTTGTTAAAATGTTGCACTCTACTCGTGAGAGCACTATTAAAGTGGCACTTAACGGCTTAATTGTTCATGAACGGACTGATGCTTCTAGCGCAGAGCAGATGGCTGAAGCTGGTGTTATAGATTCTTTGTTGAACCTGCTAAGATCTCATCAATGTGAGGAGTTATCCGGAACACTACTTGAAGCTTTGTTTAACCACATCAGAGTACGAGAGAAGAAGGTTTCCAAGTATGCAATAGCACCTTTATCTCAGTATCTGTTAGACCCACAAACTAGGTCAGAGACCTGCAGGTTTCTTGCAGCTCTAGCTCTTGGGGACCTCTCCCAGCAGGAAGTACTTGCAAGGGCCAGTGATTCTGTTTCAGCTTGTCGTGCTTTGGTAAGCTTGCTTGAAGATCAACCGTCTGAAGCAATGACAATGGTAGCAGTTTGTGCATTGCAGAACTTTGTCATGCACAGTAGGACCAATAGGCGAGCTGTTGCAGAAGCAGGTGGCATATTAGTGGTGCAGGAACTACTCCTGTCTCCTAGTGCTGATGTGGCTGGGCAGGCAGCCATGCTGATCGAATTGCTATTTTCTAACCACACTCTCCAAGAATATGTATCAAATGAGCTCATCAGATCTTTGACAGGTAATTTCATTTCCATTTTATTACATATTTGATCCTTTTGTTGGATGGGGTTGCAAGGTGTACGTACCATCATGTGTACTGTAGGTGAAGGACCAGATTTTTTTCATATAATTTATAATGTCATGTATTCATTCTAGAGGAAATTTTCTTAGTATGAGCACTTGTCTCTTCTGGTTTATTATTTGGACAATGATGCTTTTCCTTGCTCTCCTTCTAGTTGTGGAACCAACTATAACTTTGTTGTGCAGCTGCTCTTGAGAGAGAGTTGTGGTCCACTGCGACGATCAATGCACAGGTCTTGAGAACCTTGAATGTCATCTTCACCAACTTTCCTAAGCTCCATGTTTCTGAAGCAGCTACCCTGTGCATTCCCCATTTGGTAAATGCACTCAAGTCTGGTAGTGAGGCAGCTCAGGAATCTGTGTTGGACACCTTATGTTTGTTAAAACAGTCTTGGTCAACCATGCCAATAGATATTGCAAAGTCCCAGGCCATGATTGCAGCTGAAGCTATTCCTATTTTACAAATGTTGATGAAAACCTGCCCACCAAGTTTTCATGAAAGAGCAGACCTCCTGTTACACTGTTTGCCAGGATGTTTGACTGTTACCATTAAGCGTGGGACAAACCTAAAGCAGGCAATGGGAACCACAAATGCTTTCTGTCGCTTGACAATAGGCAATGGTCCTCCTCGCCAAACCAAAGTGAGAGTTTTTCTGAAGTAACATGTTTATAGACAAACCATTCATCTTGCAGTTGGCATTGATTGTGTCTTCTTAAGAGAATTCATGGTATATAAATTGCTGCTGTTCTTGGGGTTAAAATGATTGCCTGCCAGTCTGGTAGGATGAGTGAGCTTTTAGAATACCATTGTTCTTCTAAAAGGGAATAAACAAAGCCTAGTCTTTCAGTGTTAGATTATATAGCATGCGTTGTATCGCATGCAGAGCTTCCCTTTTTTTTTTCAACCACATGAAGTTTTTCCTAACAGTGTGCAGTTATCTTTTTCAAAAACAAAGGAAGTCTACACCAAATGGGTCTTCTAAGATTATTCATCCTTTTGGGGAAATATATGAACCATAATTTTGGTATTGTGCCAAAAATGCAACATTGGATCCTAAGCAAACTGGCGACTGTATGCTTATTTCTTACTGTCAGGTAATGCTACATTTCATATTAAAAGGATCTATTTTTGTCAGGTTGTGAGCCACAGTATATCTCCAGAATGGAAAGAAGGATTTACATGGGCTTTTGATGTACCGCCGAAGGGCCAGAAACTTCACATCATTTGCAAAAGCAAAAATACTTTTGGCAAGGTAATTGGTTTTTCAACTATATGCATTCTAGTGCTTTTTTTCGAAAGCAGATTTTTTTCAGTTGTAGTAGTCATTAATTCATTACTCTTCCTTGTATAATTCATTACTCTTGGAAAGGATGCATAAACATTTGATTATAGGAAAACCAATCATTACACATGAATCTCTGATCTATTTCTTGATTTGCGAATTGTCAACAGCACTTGCTATGCTTAGGTGGTGTGTTTTGACACATAAAATTTCTGATTGGGGGATAATGTGTTTTTTCAGAATACTCTGGGAAGAGTGACTATCCAAATTGATAAAGTTGTGACGGAAGGAGTATACAGTGGGTTATTCAGCCTTAATCATGATAGCAATAAGGATGTTTCCTCTAGAACTCTTGAAATTGAGATTATCTGGACCAACAGGACATCAGAATGATAGCACACAAGGGAAAGAGGGTTATTTGAACAGGCAACTTCATTGAAATTGGGCACAAAAGGCTGCTCAAAAGCTGAGGGGAGAATCATTAATGTCGTTTTCACCATGACAAGATGCAGAAGTCCGGTTTGCTTGTAAGTAATTTCATTACTTGAAGGTCCAGTTTTGCGGAAACAAAGATTAACTCGCTGTTACATGTAAAGTGAAACTGTTTATTTATGCAGAGGTTAGAAGGGGGGCGAGGGTAGTTCCCACGGTATAGGGAAAATATCTGCGTTGTTTACAAGTTGTACAGGCCAATTCATAGGCATCAGCAATTAAAACGTGCAATAGGAAAGTATCATGGGGAAAATTATTAAATCAAGCTTTTCAATGGAAATGTTACCTTTTGGTGAGAGATGAATTTTTGGAATGATTAACCCTTTGATGCTTTGTTTTTCCTTCGGATTTTTATTCCCCCTTTTTAACCCTTCGCGAATGAATTGAGGAAACCATGAGAGATTCGATTCTGGCTTTGTGCTGTTGTTTGTGTTGCCGTACATGGGACTGCTTTGCTTTAAGACGTTATTTAACCCGGATTTCCATGTTACGAATCAGGTTTGAACATTGCTTTTCTCCTGAATATCCTAATAAATTCTCCTAATTACAAATGGGTGGTAATAAATTAAAATAAAATGAAGTATTTGTTTGTGTATCTAAAAGAGCAAAGCATAATTCTGTTACATGATTATTGATGCATATGGCGGTTGCACATGCTTGTTTGCTTTCATCAATCACATATAATCCATAGGCTCTAAACATCAGGTTGCACCAAGACATCTGTGGCAGTGGAAGATAGTGTCGTCATTTCGGGAAAAAGAAATGTTGCAATGTCCGTATCTTTACCGTGCTCGTCCCCAACAGCGCTCAACTAATTTTATGCTTATGTAGAAAATGATCGATATAAGGAAAAAAAATTCGAAACATCAAGTACATTTTCTTTAATGTCATCGTCCAAAACGTCAGAAAGTAAATGGAACAAAGGACAAGCGAGAGAATGGAGAAATGAAAGGATTACAAAAGGAACAATAAGCTAGTAGATCATTGAAATTGACACCGGGCGGGTGGGGGTGTTGGGGGGCGGCAATTTCTGGATGGCAAAAACAGAGACTCCCCAGTTTGGAAAAGGTAACCTATATAAATTCTGAATTCAATCAATCGTTAACATTATTTATTTCTAGTAATTAATCCATGTAAGGTTTTGATAAGATCATTTAAGAGTTGCAGTATACCAGGGAGCTAGTCTCCAGTAGAATCTGCTCTTTGAACAGGTACACACTTGCATGATCCTTTGTCAGTTTCGTCCACGGGTTTGCTTACAGCGGAATATCCACATCTTAATTTGGTTATCTTTCTGCTCATCATGTATTGTTTCACGTTCCGTGCTTTTGGGGGAGAGAATAAAAAGGAACAGATGATGGGGATTCATCTGGCACCGTGGCAGACATGCAAGGACATTGCAAAGTCCATTAGGTAGAAAATATGACAATCACACAAGCTCATCTGCAAACAGGCATGAGTTTTAACTTGCTAGTAGCTCAAAACTTTACTTTCTTACATATCCTTGACTTGGGGACTGCATAAGCAAGGATTCCATGTCTCACACCCAACTCAGCAGAAATAACATAGGGCAATCAAAAGCAGCATAGAAACTAATTTACTCCTGCAACCAATGTGGATCGAGCCCTAGTAAAAGAAGCAATAAGTGATCCAAGTTGCAACTTATCATTGCACCCAAAGCTCAACCTGTATCTGCAAGATTATAGAAGTTGAGATTAATGCAATCGAAGCCTCAAGAAGCTTTCAATCCTGTACTTTTTTTAATTAGCAAGAACAACATTAGAACAATATCATTAAAGCGATGATATGCATTCCTTTCTCTGCTCAAAAGTTGTACAAAACCGTATTCAACTTGTTTGCATGTTTTCTATAGTACATGTTGATCGCAACTGCAAAGCATGCATTAATGTTTGTATTGACAATAAGCACCACTTATGTAAGTGTCCTGTCACAATAAATAGCACAATGCCCTAAAATGCAAAATGAATAGGAATGTCTTAAAACTATACCTCTTCTCAATTTTTTTTGTTTTTTTTTTTTTTGTTGCAAAATATGTATTTGGCTTCCCCATGTAAATGCATATGCATGTCAGTCTGCATTGGTCTAATGCACAATTTGACAATCACCCTTGTTACAAAACAAGGATATCAAGCCATACATCTACCGAAAAAATCATAATCAAACACAAAAAGCAAATAGAACTCAAATAAGAGAGAGAATTGTGTACATACTCTATATCAGCCAAATCATTGATCAATGGCACTCGGACATCTGCTTTCATCTTAATATTGAAGACAAACCTGCCGGAGTAGCACAGTGGAGATGACATCAACCAACAAAAATCAGAGTGATACATAAAATTATGCACAACACTTACATGGTCACTTCTCTGACAATATCCACCAAGGCCAAACCTTTCCTTGTCTTGATTTCAAATATTCCTATGGAGCATAATACAGAAAAAAATGAAAATTAGAAAATCATTCACAATTTGCACATCACAACGGACAATCAAATCATATATGAAAATCGTTCATACGCTTATAGCTCTCTGCAAAAGATTCGTTCAGAAGCCAGTGGGTTATTTGTTCGATGTCTTTGGGCAATGGGTTTCCAGTGCACAGGTATACAGCTTCTTCTGTAATTTGCTGAGAAGCCATGTGTGTCGACTGTATACATCAGAAATAAGGATCAACAATTTCATTTTATATTCATTAACACAAAAGGGTTGACAGAAATTGGGAACCACACCAAGGCAGACCAGAGGGACTGGGCCACAGCCCTTGGCCTTGATAAGGATTATACAAGGCTTTCAGCTTTCTCTTTGCTTTTCGGATTGAATTTCTTTTCCTGCACACTTACAGTCAAGCATGCACATGCTCGCTCGGAGCAAAGAAAGCAGCCATGTTGATTTATTATGTATTTCTACAAATATTCTACAAAAGAGTTGACAGAATAATGGAAAATCCCAATGATCAGGTTCATTAAAGTATAGTGCAATTGCAGAAAATACATATATAAAAAATTCCTAACGATCATTTGCCACACTAGTCCCATGTCCACAGTAAACTAGAAATAGCCACCATTTCCTCGAACCTTCCTTAAAACTGTAACATCAAAAGATACCTGTTCTGAATTCTCTGATACATATATCAGAAATTTAAAAACATAGTCATACGATCACCTAACAATGGAAACACATGAAAGAGTAAAAAGATTGAGTAATTTTAATACCTGCAGTATATTCAAAGCCTTTCTCATGTCACCATTGCTAAGCCGTTTAAGTGCCTCTAAGCCACTCTCAGTTACATCAAGCCTAATCCAGGAGCATTTTGTTAAATGTACTGCTGCATTAATTCTAATGCATTGCATACGTCAAAAACCTATTACTCATTCCAAGTTGCGTTTCAAATTTCATGGTACTTTAAGAATCCAAAAAGAGAAAGCAGTCCTTCCAAGCAAGCTAAAATTCCTGTTTCCTCTGTGAACATAAAACACTCACTCTAATCTATATCATTCACTGACCCCTAAAATCACAGCAAGTGACTCCAAAAGGCAACCCCAGTTTTTGACTCCACACAAGCAAGCCTTCAAATGATTTTTTTTGAAAGTCCAATAATACCTTCAGCTTCAATAAGCTATATAAGGTAAACTGTAAGAAACATAACATATAAGCCACCTGTTCACTTTTAGAACCATGAATAAAATGTCCTTTATTCTCCAGAGGAGAAAACACAACTTCTCAGAAGAATGGAGGATTGTGCTATTTAATTACCACCATACTAGACAAATTTTACATATAAATTATTTCCCAGTAAATAAAACAATTTCTGCAGTGACTTACAGACTAAAAAACAAGATCTTGTCTAAAATTGGTGAGAAATGCTGATGAGAAAAAAAAATCTAATATAAATCAAGGTTACAATCTACATAAATGGCAACAAAAAATAAAGCAAAAGAAACCGATATCAGTGATGGCAAGGAAATGCTCACCCTTCAGCCTCTATAACATGTTTGAGTCGTTCACCAACTTGCATTGGATTAAGAGGAGCAAATCGAAATCGAGTACATCTAGACTGTAGTGCTGGAATAATCTTATTCACATGATTACAGATAAGTGCAAACCGGGTGTTCTTCGTGTATTTCTCAATCACTACACGAAAGGATAAAAAAGTCAATTCAAGGAAATTAACTTAGAGCTTGGAAATAACGAAGTCTGTGATGACAATTCCTACCTCTGCGCAAGGCAAATTGTGCATCCTTTGTCATTGCATCTGCCTCGTCCAGTAAAACCAACTTTACAGATGCCTTTGCACTGTAAACATAAAACTCTTTAGTGATCAGCTGCAATAATAAGTTGTCATTGAGCCATTCTTTTCAGGCAAATTTACTTCATAAACTTGGAGTTTCAAAAAGAAAAATGCTCTATGGATAAAACAATATCACTCTTGACAACTCCAGACCCCCACCCGCTTCCCAACTAAGGCAAATCCACAGCTAAATCAAAGCTCACTGACCACTCAAAACAAACTACAATATTTGCAGCTGTACTAAAATACCAAGCGCATAATTGCAAGCATATAGAATACGTATCGAGACAGAGAGGTTGGGAATGTAAAAATAATCATATCACATGCAACAGTCAAATACTACCCAAAAGAGAAGCTCTGAGTGCTAGCAAAATCTTGTATTTGCTGCCGCACAACATCTATTCCTCTATCATCTGATGCATTCAGCTCCAAAATCATGTTGTGATACTGCGCTCCATAAAGTTTACGCGCCACAGCAAGAATTGTAGACGTTTTGCCTGTGCCAGGAGGGCCATATAATAAGAGATGCGGCAATCTGTTTTCACCGGTCAACCTGTCAACTATTCACACAAGAAAAAACATATCACAAATTATTCGAAACATCTTGCAAGGGAAAAAAAAAAACTACACCAGCAAAAGTTCCAATAATGATTAACAATTATTAGCTAACTGAAATAACAATACTCCAAAATTGGACTCGGATTCTTAAAATGTGCCTCAACTAGATGTTATTTCCTCATAAACCCTAAATGAAGAGTTATAATTAGTGAAGTAAATATTGGAGCCCTAATTTTTTGAATCCAATAGCTTTAAAAAATGGCATGCGCGTGAATAACCGAAACCCTAGAAAAAGAGAGAGGAGATAATTACTGGTATTGACAATGTCACGGTGAGCGGCGACATCGGTGAGTGATTGAGGACGGTACTTCTCGACCCAGGGAGTGGCTTTACTGTCGGGTGGCGTGCTGGCTACGACGACGTTTTTGTCCTTGTTTGGATTCGATAAATGGTTCTGGTTCTCCTCTTCGTCAATGTCCATGAATGAGGTGGCCTCCGTCATGCCGTTCGTTCTCTATCTCGGTGTTGCGGCTTTTTGTTTGCTCGCTCTGTGAAGTATGCTCTCTGTGTGTACTAAAAAGACAGGCTTTTTCTGTGAAAATACGAGTGATGGCGCGAAGCAGATTTCGAGGATGGTTGTTTGTGTAATTGTGATACGCTGTCTGGGCAGTTTGGGCCATAAACAGTAAGATGAACCAGCCGTTCGGAAATTGAACCCAATTGGATCGTAGAACTTAGAAATGATGGCACTTTCATGTATAATATATTGATTACAAGCAGGGCTGCTATCCAGACCTGCAATGGGTTTTGGGCTTTACCTTCTTTGTGTTGAAATCGATTTTAGAAAGTTGTCAGGTTGCATTTCTTTTTTCTAATATAGCAATTTCATTGACTATCGAATAGCGCGAAATACGTGTTTACTCACGAAATTCAAAAGCTAAGAAAATTATGGTTCTATCCTTGGGGGAAAAAAAAGCATAAAAAACCAACCAAAGGAAGAACGATAATTTTTCACATTGCTGTTAGTTTGTTCATAAATGCTGAATAAGCCCCCCATATTTTTATTATCGATAACTTTCTAAAATCATACAATTTAAAAAAATGATACGTAATTTTTTTTCACTAAACTTATATTTGTCAATATAGAGAAATATATAGTATAATTTAATGCGTTATTCTTTGATGTAAATACAATGAATGTATTCGGAATTCGGCTGAGAAACTTAAAAGTTGCGTGCTCGATCCAAAAAAAATAAAATAAAAGAGAAGTTTCATTTATTTTTTTGAATTTAATTGTCGTAATCATTTTCTTAATAGAAAAAATCAAAATAATTTATAGATTTTTATCTCCATTATTAGCGAGGCTTATAAGGACAGTGTTTAAGTAGTTTTAATTAGGGGGTTAATGTCATAAATACACAAAGCCAATACAAAGATTGAAAAATTTATCGTAAGAAAATTAATCTTCTAAATAAAGACACATATTTCGAAAAAATCATAAAATATATTTGTTTTTGATATGAAGAGTTATATATATATATATATATATATATATATATATATATATATATATATATATATATATATATATATATAAAGGAAAACAAAAAGAGAAAAATATATATAAGAAGTAAATATATAAAGGAAAACAAAAGGAGAAAAATATATATAAGAAGTAAATTTTTTTAAGAAATATACGAAGTAACCTTAATTAAGATATAATAATTAGAAAAATGATTCATAGTGGTTATGGTAAACAATCGAAGATATTCAAAATCACTAGACTCGTAGTCCATAGGAACTTCCCGCCTATATACATACTCGATTCTCCCAAGTCCTAATCGACATTATCAGAATAAGCCTAGAGTACAAGGGCATATGGCCCAGTGACATATTTAAAAAAGCCCATTTAAACCCAAAACAATACCTGGCATTTACATTACATGAATGGAAAGCTTGGCCTGCTTAAATTAAGGTTTCCCACGGGGTTGATCATTCTGGTTTTTTTATTCCTTTTTTAATAATTTCAGTTTGATTTTTAGTTAATGGAATTTATAAAAATAAAAACTGAACTCAAATAAAATTATTATTCAATTTTTTGGTTTAAATCAAATAAAATCTTTTTTTGAATTTTTTTATTTTTTTTAAATAATGTAAATAAACAAAAAGCATTATCAGCCCATCAAATATCTATAATAATGTTAAAATATTAATTTTTTTCTATTTACATTGCACTAAAAATTTTTAAAAATTAATTTTCAGTTTAAAACGGATAAAAAGTTTCAAAAACTGGATCGGATAAAAAAATTTAATTTAGGTTTTTTTAGTTAAGAATCGAATGGAAATTAATATTTTGATTCGGTCTGATTTTTTATTTAAACAGAACTGTACTTACTCCCAATCCCTCGTTTTCCCACAGTGCACATTGTGGCCTTATGATTCGTCTCTTTGATGGGTTCAACCTTCAGATAAGAAGAAAAAAGATTTTTGCATTATGAATGGCGACAGAGATTCATATGGTTGTAGAATGAATCCTCCATCTCCGCTCCATGAAAACCTCGTAATTTTCATATCCGTTTCCATTTACGTTGAAGGCGCTTCTCAATCCTCCATACCCTCCTTCATTGGAGGTTCCCATGAACATTTTCATTATCAATTTATATCGAATGGAGCATATATGCCATGAAAAAAATAAAATATTTTATATTTATCAAACAAATCAAATCAAAGCAATATTAAGGAAAAAAGAAAAAACTACACGTTATTCTATACATATATGGAAAAACTGACAAGCATAACAAACTATTGTTATATATAAATTCGAGTATCTACACAAGACTCTAAAACACGTGGGGTTGTAACTGCTGCTCAAGACTCAGATGTCCCGTTCATTACACTGTTCATTCAATGGTATTTTTCCTCCGCTTCTTTCTTTTCCTTCTTGCTGAATCACTGTACAAGTCTATTTTTTGGTACATTTTTTGTTTCAACCGTCCGATCCAAATTAATTACTTCAGAGCCGTCCGATTGAACATTGGGTTATTTTAAATCTTGACCATCCATTTAAAAAACACTAACAATCCCAACCATGAAATCATGATATATAATTTTTTTTTTGTCCCATTCTCACCGAGCCTCCTTTCTTCATCCAAACCGTTGCTGCAACTACACCCGCGACCACCATAGCCGCCGACCGTTAAAATTGTTTAATTTGTCCTTTTGGTTTGTGCTTATTATTTGTTATTTTCCTTAATTTATTTGCTTTTTCTGGTTTATTTTTGCCATTTCCTTTTCTATGCCATCTTTTATTCGTTTAGAATTATGGGTTGTTGTTCTCACTATCTTGCCTGTTCTTTGTTTTTCTCTCTTCTTCATCCTCTTTCTGCAGTTGGGTTATGGCTATTGTGTGGTTTGGTGTCGTGCCGTTTCTTTCCTGTCTCAGGTTCGCTTCTCTTTTGTCTTAGATTGATCTTACTGCTATGTTTAGATATTCACTTCATTGCACCTCTTCAGTGTCAAAATTAAAACAATAATGTGTTGCTTTTGCAATTTATTGGTGTTGTCAGCGTAGCAAATACATCCGCATTCCATTTTACAGAAGATAGTTACAGTGATTTGGTCTTGAAATGTCTCAAAAAAAGTTGATTTTCCTATCATTGAGTTCTTCGTTTCATGCTCTTTCTTTTCAGTTGCAGTTGTCATGGGTTTGTTTAGCTTTAAATATTGGTCATGGTTATATTGTGTTGGATTCACTAAAAATGATGTTGGTTTTACCACATTAGAATAGAAGGCAGCTGGGTTTGTTTTGCTACTTGCAATAAAAGTGTTTGATAAAAGGTCTCAAATAAGTTTGATTGTCCTATAATTGAATTAGTCATTCATTCCTTTCACTTTTCAGTTACAGTTGTGATTGTAACATTGTTGTTCATAGTTTCCATGCTTCCTTATACCTGTTTTTTGTTGGTGGATTTTCTTTCTCGCTGTGACATTTAAATTTCCCAATGAATGAAATATCTCATAAATTGCTTTCATCTCATGTTATTCCAAAACCGTGTTTTTTACAATCTTTGCAATATCTCCTGTCCCTTTCTTTGTTTGTCTTCTTTTTTAGCTTTTAATGCTTCAGACCCCACCACTTCTTTTGTAGTTGGAGTTGCTGTCTCTTTTTCATTCAAAAACTAATACCAGGAGGCAGTAATTGACTATTTAGTTTTTACCTTCAAGTTTTCATGACTAATATTTATGTTTTTTTTTCTTTTTATCATCATCACGGAATGTATTGGATTTTGGATCATAACATATCCATATCCATAGCACTCTCTTATTACTAATTAAATTAATTAATTTTTCAAATCATAAATCTTAATTGTCAAATAATTTCAATTTTTAAAATTTTTTGAATCATTTTAGTATTTGTATAATTAAAATGAAACCATTGAGTTGCTGATGTAGCAATTCTCTAGGCCCTTTCTTTCTTTGTGTTTCTTTTTTACCTTTTTATGCTTCAAGTCCTACCACTTCTTTTGTAGTTTGGAGTTGTTGTCTTTTTTTATTTGAAAACTAATATCAACAGCCAGTAATTAACTATATAGTGTTTACCTTCAACTTTCATGACTAAGACTTTTTTTCCCTTTTTGGATCAGCACAGCATATATATTGGATTTTGGATCATGGCATATCCATATCGATTTCTTATTAATAATTAAATTAAATAAAATTTTCAGATTTTAAATCTTAAATTATTGATTAATTTAATTTAATTTTTTTTATCATTTTAAAATTTTGTATGCCTAATTATTTTATTTTTCAAAATTTCCTGATTTGCCTTTGCCTAAGGATCCATCTGCGAGGATTAAAGAGGTTTCAGGGAAAGTAGTTGCAATTGTTGCTTTTTCAGGTTTTCCTTCCACCATTAACTGATTGAATTGACTTCTATATTTGATATAATCCATGTATCTTCTCATTTGTATTTAAATTATACTATAAAAATACTGGATGGTCAAGGTCTTATACATGAAGGTAAAGATTTAGGGCGTAGTAATTTGGTACAATATCTACTAAGAAGAGAAACTAGATTAAGACTTCATCCAGTTCATGTTAGTTGTGAGATCTGCATTTAATCATGTGCATATACTTATGGCATTTCTTAAGGCTCTAGCAGTTACAATATCCATTAAGGACAAAGAAACATTTACTAAACTGTATAACATGATATGGCTGCAATTTTTTGTCTTTTTTTGTTTGAATTGGGTTTTATTACTGATGAAGAAGTTAAACAATGAGAATCAAAATTGCATGATGCTTTGAAAAATGGCACAGAATTTAAAGTAAAAGATGGTGCTTCAGTGGAAGTTGCAGAGGTAGAATATTGGTGATAGTTGTAATTTTTTTCATAATTATTTTTGAATTTTTTATGGTGATTGTTTCAAAATTAATTTCTTTGGTTTCTTTCCTTTTCAAATTACTAGACCACTACACTTTAAAATTACATGCTACAAAACTAGGACATTTAGTTTTTACTTATATTACTTTATTTTTTCCGTTTTACTTTTTCTATGAAGGAAAGTTAAATTTTTTATTGTTTTTTGTGTTACTGCCCATCTGTGAAAGGGATCGGTGATTAACTAATCATATTATGTCATATGTGAGAACTATGAAGTGAGATGGATTCTTTATACCATATGTTAATATACAAAACATAAAATATAACATTGATGAAGATTTTAAAACAGAGATAATAAGATAAACTTTTTAAACCGAAAACATTTGTTCAAAATTTCTTACCATATATATACTTTTTTATTGTTTTTCTTTAAACCAATGTAAAAAATGTATTGCAAGCTTTAGTTTAAGAGGTAAACAAGCCATGCTCAATCTTAGTAAATTAGTTCAAACTGATTGGACTTCTAATGTTGTGCTGTTCTTTTAAACTACATTTAAATCTTATTAAAATTTAAATTAATTAATTTTTCAAATTTTAAATCTTAATTGTTGATTAATTTAATTTTTTAATCATTTTAAAATTTTGTATATTTAAATAATTTAATTTTCCAAAATTTAAATCTTAATTGTTGATTAATTTCATTTTTCAAAATTTTTGAACCATTTTAAAATTCTGTAATTTTTTTCATAATTATTTTTGAATTTTTTATGGTGATTTTTCAAAATTAATTTCTTTGGTGTCTTTCTTTTTCAAATTCCTAGACTATAGACTTCAAATATACATGTTGCAAAACTAGGACATTTAGTTTTTACTTATATTACTTTATTTTTTCTGTTTTACATTTTTGTGAAGGAAAGTTCTTAAATTTTTTTTTATTTTTTGTGTTATTGTCCATGTGTGCAAGGGATTAGTGATTAACTAATCATATTATGTCATATATGAAAAATGTAATAGAAAAAGCATAAAATATATTATTAATGAAGCTTTTAGGGGAGAGAAAATAAGATAAACATTTTAAACCGAAAGCATTTGTTCAAAATTTCTTAAAATATATATACTTTTTAATTTTTTTGTTTAAACCAATTTAAAAAATGTATTGCAAGCTTTAATTTAAGAGGTAAACAAGCCATGTGCAATCTTAGTAAATTAGTTCAAACATATCGGACTTCTGATGTTGTGGTGTTTTTTTTTTAAACTACATTCACAATGAACTTTTAGTTTGTAGATCAATTGCTGTTTGGTAATCAAACTCTCTTCCCATTTACCAGTTAGGTGTGCAAGAATTAGAGCATACACCTTTTATTTCCTCCCTGCATAAAAAGAAAAGAAAAGAAAATATATGAGCTTCATCTTTATGAATCCACTTTAGCATTATATTTACATTCATTATGATATTTCTTATGCATTAATTGTTCATTCACCCTCTGGCTGTCAAAACAATTTTTCACCGCTCCATTATTTTGGTTGCATTTGTTTGCTGTCGTTACAGAATTTCCATGTTTGCTATTCACTTTTGCTTTTCTAGGTTTATGTCTTTCGACTTCGTTTGCTCATGCTATCTTTCTTTTTTCTTTCCCCCTTTTTTTATGACTTATTTCAATTAAGGCTGACCAAAACATTACAAATTTATTGGATTATTTTGATATGACCACAATTTTTGTTGGTGATAAATCTAGCCATTTGGCCAAATTCTTCCTAATAAACCAAATTAACCATCTAATGCTAATAACTTTATTCTCTTATTTTATATGTCCTTTGCAACCAAAGATGATAGGTTTAGATAATGAATGATTTTTATTAAAAGATTAAAGTTTAGCTAATCAAAGCAAGATTAAAAATTCATTACAGATATGTTTAATTTTGCTATTACAAGTGAAAGAATTACTTTGGTCAAATTTATAGTTGAAGAGCATATGGTACATCCAAATTATATCAATCCTAGAAATATTTTGAGATTAACTATATGGTCTACCCTTTAAATTTATCTACACTCTTCGAGTAGTTATATAAGATAAAAATGTATACGGTTCTGTATAAAAATTGGACCAGCTATGTTAATGTTTAAAATTTCTAATATAATTTGTGATTGATACATGTTATTTTCTTACATTGATTGTCACTTCATTAGAATAAACAGTAAACAATGTTTAAGGCCATCATTCCCATATCCTTTGTCTTGACTTTGCTGAAGTGCATCATACCAATTTATTCTCTGATCACCAAAGTCATTTTAGATTCCACTATCATTACACTTGCCTATGCTTTCTACCATCAATACACTGCTAGCATTTTTTTTTTTAATAATTTTTAACTCTTGATTTCCAAGTCATGTTCTGCTTCCTATCGATGCAGGTTACTCTCGGGTTGTTGATTTATTTTGTTTTGTGCGTTGCAAGTTTTTATTATCCTTCTATTCCTACAGTCACTTTCCTTGCCTTTCTCAGGTCAATATTCAAAAAAATAACTGTTTTTGCTTTATATCTTTTATCAAATGTTGTGCTGTTGTTATGCCTTATATTGTTGTTCTGTTTTGCCTTTCCCTTATATTTATGTTATGTTTGCTATTAAAAGAAAATATGTTGAGATGATGAATGATACAAAGAGTTTTCTATTAAAAGATTAGAGTCTAGGTGAACAACGATAAATTAAAAGATCATTATAGATATATTTAATTTTACTATTACACGTGACTGAATTACATTGGTAAGATTTATAATTGAAGAGCGTATGGTAGATTTAATTTCTATCAATCCTACAAATATTTTGAGATTAACTATACGATCTATCCTTTAAATTTATCTATACTCTTTGTGGAGTTATATAAGATAAAAATGTACAGAGTTTTATATCAAAATTTAACTAGCTATGTTAATGTAGAATTTTTCTGATGTCATTTGTGATTAATACATATTATTTTCTTACATTAATTGTCACTTACTTCATTACAATAAATACGAAACAATGTTCAAAGCCATCATTCCCATATCCTTTTTCTTGACTTTGCTGAAGGTGCATCATACTAATTTATTTTATGATCACCAAAGTCATTTTAAATTCCACTATCATTGTGCATGCCTATGTTTTCTATTGATTAAGATTGTTATCAATCCTCCGCTTGCATTTGCTTTTTTGGCTTTCTTGCTCTTGATTTTCATGGTCATGTTCTGCTTCCGATCGATGCAGGTTGCTGTCGGCCTATTGATTTCTTTGTTCTGAGCGCTGGAACTTTTGATTTATCTTTCTGTTCCTACAGTCGCTTTCCTTGCCTTTCCCATGTCATTATTTTAAAAGTTAACTATTCTTGCCTAATGCCTTTTCTCAAATATTGTGCTCTTACTATGCCTTACACTGCTGTTCTGCTTTGCCTTTTTCCTTACATTGCTGCTCTGTTTTGTATTAAAAGATGTAGGTTCAAATAATGTATGATGCAAACACTTTTCTATTAAAAAATTAAAGTTTGGCTATATTAAGAAAAATTAAAAATTTGTTACAGATATGTTTAATGTTACTATTACAAGTGACAGAAATACACTTCTCATATTTATAATTGAAGAGCATCTGATAGATCTGAATTATATCAATCCTACAAATATTTTGAGATTACTTATACGATCTATCATTTAAATTTATCTATACTCTGTGAGAAATTATATAAGATTAAAATGTATACGGTTCTGAATGAAAATTTGATCGGCTATGTTAATATTAAAGATTTTCTAATATAATTTGCGATTAATATATGTTTTTTTCTTACATTAATTGTCACTTCAGTACAATAAACAAAAAAAACAATGTTGATGGATTTGGATCACTCCAAGTTAGTGATGGTGGCATTCTTGGTACTGTCATGGCTTCTGCCTTCATTGGCAAGCAACTAATTATACTTCCGTTTCATGTCATATATATCCCAAATTGTAAATTAATCAAATCGTTGTAGCTTATAATTAGGAATGCATATTTATTTGTTAAAATGGATTTTTATAACATATATGACCAATTTAGAGAAGGTGAGAGATTTTATATGTTGGTATTTTGAGGAATCAATTGTGAAGAGGACCTTATATAGGATTGGAATGTAAGAGTTAATCCTTAGAAAATTCGGGTTGAAAATATGTTGACAGCTAAGGATATTGTATCAATTATCCATTTGAATAGAATCTATTTACGGGACACGATACAAAGAAACTAGATATTGTGTCCAACTCGGTTTGAATTGAGAGAGGAGATGTTCCTTAGTGACTTCAGATTTTTAGACTTTCATTTTCCTAAATCCTCATTTGAAATTCTCTATGGATTTTAAATTGAATCTCCATATTGATTCACTCTAGTGCCATGTAGAAATTTAACAAGAAAGGTATCCTTTAGTATCATTTGATTTACTCTACGGCCATATAGAAATTTAACAACAAAAGGTATCCTTCAGTATTATTTTTGTTTTCGTATTTTTCAAAACCAAAATTTGAAATCAAACAAAATGGTTTCAAAAAATGGTGAGTAAGGGTTATCTATTAATTCAAATCTTCGCAATAGAGATCTTTACAATATAATTCAAATGACATCATCATTTTGTTTCATTGCAAAAAATCAACTTGGATTCCAAAAATAAGTTGAAACTGCAAGTTAATGTTTAATTTGTATTTTCATTTTTTTATATGCAGATGTTAACGGATTGGAAGGAAGGGAACAAATCAAGCATATTATTATTATTATTGCTTAATTTTAATGTTTATATTGTGGGGGAATGTATTGATTTTTGAATGGTAATTTGAGTTTCAAAATCTTAGTTTGGCACAACCCCTACTCTTTGAATTAGAATTAACTTTATTTAAATATAGTAACAGATAATTCATATTTGTTAGTTTTATTGCTTCTCGATTTGAATGTTTACGTTGTGGTAAATGTATTAATTTTTAAATGTTACTTTCAGTGTCAAAATCTGAGTTTAATTTCATAAAAAAATTTGTGCAGCCTCTACACTTCGAATTATAATTAAATAAATATATATAGCAATATAGCTCATAGTTATTAGTTCTATTACAGCAACAATAATTACTTTTACCACCTTGAAACAAACTTGAATGACTTTAAAACAGGTTTATACTATCATTGGTTTAACTGAATCCTATAGTTCTTTATGTGTTGGATCAAGTAACAATACAATTTTTTGCAAATGCCTTTTTTTTTTTTATTATTATTATGTAACTATATTTTCATATGTTATATACATTAAAATGTTCTTTGGTTATTTTGCTCAATAAATAAATGTTGTTTTTTTCTTTCAATATTTTTTTAGTTTTATTCAATTCGCAGCGTAGCGCGAGATGCAAGCTAGTGGTACTCTCTATCCTAACAAGTCGAGCATTTTTTACCGGCCTATATTTTTTTTACCAGCACAATTACCGTCTCCACTTTACACAATTATAACCTTGTTTGCGTCCTGGACCTCGGAACAGGTTATTCAGTAAAACGTTTTCAAATTTCAATTTGGGTCGAAAAAGATTTTTTTTATAAAAAAATTCACTTTAACTAATCGGTCAAGATTAAGACGAAATACCAGTTATCGAGGGACCGACCGTTTAGCATGTATGAGCCAATGTTCTCAATTCTCATAATAATCGGTATTAAGAAAAATCTTAAAATGACCTCAATTATACAAGCAGTCTCAATTTCACTCCTAAACAAAATGTTATATTAAATTTGTTTTCTAGTTTAAAAAATTATAAATTAAATCTTCCAATCTACATTCAATGATAGATTCCAAACAAATTATTTTTTATATATACATGTAAAAAAATTCCTTTTATAAGGAATTTTAACAAGAAGGTCCCCATCAAGAAACCAAAACTATTTAGATATAAAATTGATACAAAAATGATAAGGGGCAAATCGATACTAACTCAATAGTTGGGGGAGTTAACCTAAACATTAACCAAGATCGCCAGGGATATGTTTGGTATATGTGAGATCAATACTCTTAAAAATAAAAATTACCGAAAAGAGAAAGCATTAGCTAGCCAACATTTTCGTTGAAAAAGATCTGATAAATTACTTGCATTGCTCGCAAGCAAACCCTTTAAGTACAGCTGCGATACAGATTTAATAATAATAAATAAAAAAAGTACTTCGTTGGCGGGTAGGAAATTGGTTCCCGCCACAATTGCGAGTAGTCAGATTCACTAACTCCTGAACCCGAGTCTTGGAGCCAAAAGGCCCCTGAGTCCCTCTGACTCGAGCTGAGCTGACATGATCTGACCTGAACTGAGTTGACCTCAACGGATCACACCTCACCCCCTCATCACTTTCGTTCCTCCAAAATAAATTAAAAAAAATGACCCCTCTCTCTCTCTCTCTCTCTCACCAGTAATACAAAATAATAATAATAATAAATAAATAAATCGAGGCCCTCCCCCTCTCTAATATAGTAACTTTTCCTTTCTATATAAAATCATTTCCCCTTCAATTCCAAAACCCAAAAAATAAAAAAAAACTCAATGCTACACACAAATAAAAATAAATCGGAGTTTATTGTTGTTGTTGAAGTAGTGATTGGAAAAGTCGGTGTTTGTCTCTCTCCCCCTCTCTCTATATATATATATCCACGCTAGCTTCTCAGCTTCTCTCTTTGGGTTTCAGGTACGGACTACAGTGTTAATTCAACTCTGATTTATTTTTTCATTTTCTTTAATTACGAGCACTGATTGTCGTTCTCGACGTCCTAATTTGCTCCTAATCTCTCTTCATTTTCCTCAATCACTAATCCTCGTGGCAATCCCTTGTTCTTGATCTTTTTTCTTGATGTTTAGTTGACAACATATTGCTCCAACTAAGATAATTTCTAGGGTTTTTTTGCCCCTCCATCGAATTTATTCTTTACTTCCCCTCTTTCTTTCTTTACGTTCTTGCAGTAATTGTTTCTTGAAGTTTCTTATTCGCTCTTGAAATGTTGTTTCTAATGGAAAAATCAATTTTCTTTTAGCTCCATTTGTACTCTGCATGTACCATTTTAATTGAGAGTTGAAGTTTCTCTCAAGGAAATATATTTTCTTCTAAAACTAGGATAGAAATAGGAGTAATGGATTGTTATAACCGATGATGCCTTTTGCAGTTTTGCTTGCTAGTAGAAATTGTGTTGAATTTTACGATATATATATATATATATATATTATTGGCTTAATGCGTTTAACTATAATTTTGTTGTCAATGCTGTATGCTTGCACATGATATTCTTTGAAAACGGACATTTTTTTTGGAGGTGAAAACTGCATTTCCTGTGATCTTTGCTTGTATATTGTGTGATTTTTTAGTCTTATGCCGTATTACGGGTACATGGTCATTTGGATAATTTCAATTACTTAATATGATGTTTTATTTTTTTTGTGAAATAATTGATTTTGTTTTTATTCCGTGATGATTATTGTTGCCCATTTGCAGAGTAGATTGATGATAAAATGACTCCACCAGCTACGCGTGGTAAAAATAAAAGGAATAGACCAGGCGATAATGCTAATATCGCTTCTGAAATATTAAGGTACAAAATTTTGTTATTTATGAAGATGGTCTGTTATTCCTATTGTTTTGATTTGATGTTGATTTTTATTGCTTCTTTTCAAAGGAAAATTCATGCAAGTGGTAAAGTGACTGATGGTGATGTAAATCAGTTGTACATGATATGGAAGCCAGTTTGTCAAGGCTGCCGTGTGAATACTAAAGACAACCCTAACTGCTTTTGTGGCTTGATTCCACCACCCAATGGAAGTCGTAAATTTGGCTTATGGCAGAAAATGTCTGATATTCTTCAAGCACTTGGCCCAGACCCATCCAAAGATCTTCGTAGTACTGAGGAAACTCCTTCTGGTCTAACAAATCTGGGAGCAACATGCTATGCCAATAGTGTACTTCAGTGTCTGTACATGAATGCCTCATTCCGAGAAGGTGTTTTCTCTGTTGAGCCTGATGTGTTGAAAGAGCAGCCTGTGTTAGATCAGCTTGTTAGGCTTTTTGCACAGTTGCATGCTAGTAAATTGGCTTTTATTGATCCAGCTCCATTTATAATGACCCTGGAGTTAGACAATGCAGTTCAGCAGGATGGCCATGAGTTCCTGACCTTGCTTCTTTCACTGCTTGAACGTTGTCTGAGCCACTCGAGGGTTTCTAAGGCGAAAACAATTGTTCAAGATCTTTTTCGAGGAAGTGTATCACAAGTAACAACGTAAGAGAAACACCAATTAATTGTTTTTTCCTTTTGTTATTGAATTTTTGTCTGAATATCTTGTGCTCTGATGATTATCCTTTTATGTTTATCTCAGTTGCATATTTCTTCTTTTGATTTGCCTTTAGGTTTGCGTGTCGTTTTCGACATGTTTGATTGGTCATTTTTAGCACCTTTAACCATCCACCATGCCTAATAGTCTGATATAGATGTTATCGTTTCTTTTTTTTTTTTTCTTTTGTTTGTTCTGTATGTGCAGGTGCTCAAATTGTGGAAGAGATTCTGAAGCATCTTCCAAAACTGAAGACTTCTACGAGCTGCAGATGAATGTCAAGGGCTTGGAAAGCTTAGATGAGAGTTTGGATCAGTACTTTAGTGTGGAACAGCTTCACGGAGAGAATCAATATGATTGTGAATTGTGTAAAAGCAGAGTCGATGCTACTCACCGCATTAAACTACGAACACTACCTGATGTCCTTAATTTTCAGCTTAAGCGTTATGAGTTCCTTCCAAAGGTACTCTTTGATGTGTTTTCAAGCCGATTTTTTGTTGTCCTACTGTTATGAAATTTTATAGCAATAAGCACATGTATCTCTCTTCCCATCTCTGAATTTCGGTTGTTATATGTTTTTCACCTTGGTGGTGTCATGACTGGGAAGTAGCCTTTTTTTAAATGATGCTATGCAATTGACAAATGAGAGCTTATGCTCCATTCTTATAGTGATGATTATTACTTGCATGCGTGATGAGAGTTGAAGTAGCTTTATTGAAATATTATGCATGGGTTTCTTGATGAAAAGGCTAATGCATGTCTTGTGGTGAATCCAGAGAAAATTATTACTTATGGATTTTGTGACAATGGTGTGAAGTAGGCGTTTGATGACAAGGCACTTAAACAATGACTATTTTAGAACTTTTAGTGGTATCCAATTTTTCAGTTGCTTAATGGCACCTGTAGCTCTTTTTTTTTTTCATGAATGATATTGCTTTTTGTGCAATGTCATAATTTTTATTTTTGATTTTTTAGCTTGAGGCTGCCTCTGTGCTTTAGTTTTTTGCTTTTGCTTCTTTTCATGCTTCATTGTTCGAGGGTTTTGGAACCTATCATAAGAAAAAAATAATTCCGTGGCATAGGTGATCATATATTAAGCATTTTGTGTATTGATTTTTTTCAATAGACTACTACAAGGAAGAAAATCACATCTGCATTTGGTTTCCCTGGAGAACTGGATATGGGGCTGAGGCTGTCTGAACCTTCTCAGCTGGAATGGATATATGACTTGTCAGCTGTGTTGATTCACAAGGGAACTGCCGCAAATAGTGGCCATTACATTGCTCATATCAAGGATGAGAATACAGGACAGTGGTGGGAATTTGATGATGAGCGTGTCTCAAACCTAGGTCATCACCCATTTGGAGAAGGCTCTTCAAATTCTAATACTATAGGCGTTCATAGTGACAAAGCTTCACCATCTTGTGCAGGAGCAATGCTTGCTGATACCAGCAGAAGTCATATAGATGCTGTGCAGCCACAATCTTTGGAAGCTAACATTTGTAGTTGTAAAGAGAGTTTTTCATCTACTGATGCATACAGGCTGATGTATAATCTTAGGCGTACTAGAAAGAGTGATGGTAAAAGAGATCATATTGCCAACAATATTCAATTAGAAGGTCATAAGGGTTTGCACAATGGCTTTCCTCCTGCATCTCATCTCTTTGAGGGTATAAATGATGTGAATGCATCATATATTGCTGCTTGTGAAGCGTACAAATTGAAGAAGGAAATAGAGGTGCATCGTATCACAGAACGGAGACAAGAAGTGCGATCAGTTCTTTCAGAAGCTTCTGTTCGGTTGCTTGAAGAACCATTTTACTGGGTTTCTACAGACTGGCTTCGTCAGTGGGCTGACAACATCAGTCCAGGGTAAGTGTGTATTTGTGATTGTACATTATGCATGCATAATTGCTGCTTCTGAGGTAAAGTATTGACAAGGCTTTGCATAGGATTGTTTTGATTCATATTTGCTAATATATCATAGGCACCTCAGCCTCCAAAATGTGATCATCTGAATTGTATATTTCGTTTTGGTCATTTACTTTTGTATGGTTTGCATATCAATTGTCAATCACTTTGCAACTGTCCTTTAAGGATCTGTATGATTTACTCCATATTCATACTGTCCTTCAGTGTTATAGACAACAAACCTATCCAATGCTTACATGGAAAAGTCCCAGTGTCTAAAGTTGGGTCCATGAAGCGGTTGTCTGCCAAAGCTTGGGGAATCTTGTTATCTAAGGTATCTCTCTCTAATTATCTTGCTTATAGTAAAATCCTTCCTCGCACATCTCTATCTTTTCCCTGGTTAATTTTGTTTTCAACACTTGTGCATGCATACATGTGGATTTGTTATTTCCATTTGTATTGCTTATAACTGTATTTTTAAGTATAAAGGAGAGCTGTCCCAGCACTTCTAGTTCACTAGCTTATTTTCCCCTCTCCACACACACACCGTGTCTGTGTTTATGTTTGTCTGCTTCAAGCTTCATCTATCTTTTCCTATGTATCATTTATTACTAGGTTGTGCCATCGTTATTGATGCTCTTCTGTTAAATGCCTGAAAACTGCAGTATGATGGAGGGCCAGCACTGACCAACAGTGACTGCTGCATGACTTGCCTTATTGATGGTGCTAAATCTGTGGTCTTTGCTGATAGCTATAGGGATCAGAGAACTTTAATGAGAGATCTTGCAAATGATGTAATTACTGGGAAGTGCTCAGATGGAGCATATTTTGTGTCTAAGACTTGGTATGCTTGGAACCTTATTGTTCTTTTCACTTTTTCTATTTAATTTATTGCTGCTTTTGCTAGTGATTATTAGGGATGACTTAATGAAAGGGCTTTTTTCTTTTTATTTAAAAATTGACTGATTCTGGCAACAACATATTAATTTTAATCATCTTTTTTTTTCTCCTGTTCAAGATCAAAACTATCTCTTGTGCTTTTATTGCCAACAACTACTGCATTTCTTCATCATCCCTTTTGAAGTTTGCCTGCTTGGATTGGTGTGGTTCAGAAGGTGTCCAGTAATTCTGATTGTTTCATTTTTAGGTTGCAACAGTGGGTGAGAAGAAAAAATATTGATGCTCCAAGTGAAGCCGATGCAGAACCAACAGCTGCAATTAGGTGTCGACATGGGCAACTACGGCCTGAGCAAACTGGTGCCAAGCAATTGCTGGTTCCTGAGAAACTTTGGCACTTTTTGTATGAGGATGCAGTTGCTGTAAAGTCTGATGATCCCTTGGGATGCACAACTTTTCCTTCAGATTCTGCACAGTGCTCTGAATGCAGTGATGAGATTTCTGAAGTTGCCTGCTTCGAGGATTCTATAAGGTTATTTACATGTCCTCTTAATAGTACGGATCTATTCAATCTCTCTTTCTTTATTAATTGTCCCATGCTGCAGGGAGATGAAGCTCAAACAGCGCCAAAATCATGAGAAGTTGGCGACCGGGAAGAGTATTCCCTTGTCTTTGAACTGCATGTATTACTTGATTCCCACTTCATGGCTCACAAAATGGAGAAACTACATAAATGCAAGTGGCAAGAATATTTCTTCATCAGTGGAGCCTGAAGTTCTTGATCCTGTTATTGATGCACTGAAATGTGAACGGGTAACTTGCAACGCCCTGGATATTTCCTCCTCGTCACTTTTCAAACAAATTTTTTCTTTTGTAATAAGAGCCAATATGGTTGAAGTTTCTTGATAACATGTGGAGTGAACAAAGGGTAGTTATACCTCTGGAATTAGAATCAGTTTGTTCATCAGCCTACTCTTTTTCTTGCCTATATTTTAACTTCAACTGTAAGGAGACTTATTTGTTATTCAACTCTTGCCCCCCTCCCCCTCTTCCTTTTCAGCATTCACGACTCCTAGAAATGCCTCCTGACCTGGTGAACAAACGTGGTGTGCTTATACAGAAGAGTTCTACTGTAAGGATTATAAATATGTAACTCAAGTTTGTTGTGTATATAGGTCAGTAATTGCAAGAAACACACTTGTGTGCAAAACTTATTGCATTGATTAAAATGGTGCTAAAAATATACAACTTGCTGTATTTTCTCAAGATAGTGTATTAGGAAGCCACTTTACACTTCATTTCAATCCTGCTTAAAAACCTAGAAAAAGGACAAATAAAATAGAAAGACATTACTAGTTCGAGTGCACTAATTTCAGATTTTTTTCCTTCTACCTCCTTCCCCTTGTTTTTTGGGTTCTAGACGGATGCTTTAACAATCATTACAGAGAGTGACTGGAACAGCTTCTGTGAGGAGTGGGGCGGCAACAAGGGGAAAGGCATAATGGCAACAATCGAGACCAGTGATGTTGCACAAAGTAAGTTGGGTGGTTTCCAGGAAGACATGTCTTTATGTAATGACCAAGCAAATTCTCAAGATGAAGTAAACAATGACCCGGAGATCAGAGAGCCTTTGATTAGGACCTCTCCAGAGGTAATAAAAATCCTACCAATTTTTTGTTTTGAACTGTGTTAACCACAGCTCAACACTAGCTAGCATAAAACCTTCATTTTTTTGTCTCTTATTCTTTTTAATTCTTTGGAGGCTTCTGCCTAGTCCTATGCTCTTTCCCCTTTATGATCTGGTTCCAATTTCGGAGCCACGGCCTCCCTCTTATCAGGAGGGGAAATGGCCACTGGATTTGACTTCCCTTATCTCTTATGTTGATATGGAGTTGATTATTCTGCTAGAGTTGTGAGGATTGCATTGGTGAACGAAAAAGTCGTGAGTTGGCAAAGAAGCTGAATTACTACAATGAGGACATAAATGTATCTCTTGTACGCGGCAAGGAAGCTCCAAGATCAATTTTAGAAGCTTCTTTGGCCACTCCTGAGACGGATCGGCGGGCCTCCAAACGACCTCGGAAGACTAGTTATGGGACTTCAGTAAATCTAAAAGTTTCTTGTTCCACATCATTATACCAGTTAAAAATGTTGATATGGGAATCGCTTGGGGTAAGCTACAATGAACAGATAACTTGATCATTATATTTGATTATCAATGCATAACTGATGCCATGTGCTTATATTGTTCCTCCTGTTTGAATCTAATCTGTACATGCATCAGACTCAGATTTAAGCAGGAAGGTTTGAAAATTTTTGAATTTTGACTAATATTGCTTCCATGGAATTCATAAATGTATGTTAGGAAAGTTATGTTCTTTCTATAAATGGTAAATGAGGGGTTGTAACTATTTTTTCGTCTCAAAAGAGAAGGTTTGGCATTAGGTAAATTTTGAAATGTTAGAAGTCAGATATTGGTAGGAAGAAGTGTATATAGGCTGTGCATAAAATGACATGCATGTTAGCCAAAATATCTGGATAATTGTGATACCTAAATAATTTTGTTTTTCATATTTTGTGATGTCTAAATGAAACAGACTTGTATATGGATTTTCATTTGCTATCAGTGGTTTTTAGATAAAAATGTCCCATCTTTTGACTCTCCAACATTAATCTTCTTATTTCTTTGCTTAATTTCTTTTAAATCATGGCTATAGAAACTTGTAGATATGATGTCTGTGCTTTATGTGCATCAGTTAACTGAGTAAATACCTGCAGGTGGTTAAGGAGAACCAGATACTTCACAAAGGTTCAATGATAATTGATCAGGAAAGTGCTACGCTTGCAGACTTGAGTATATTTCCAGGGGATAAGCTATGGGTGCAAGATTCTGAAATCCACGAGCATAGAGATATTGCTGGTAATTTGGGTCACTACACCACTATAACTACTTTAGAATTAATGGTTATTTTATTTGAATAAGCCTCTTATTTAAGCAAAGCTTATTTCCTGATGCAACTTGTATGCTTGGCCAGTAATGCTATTTGTCATATAATGACAGGAAGTTCAAATAGTTTACCGATTATGTGGCCTTTATTAGCAGGTTTTGTGTTTCAGTCAGATTATCAATATGCTTGTGATATAACACGATTGTCCAATTTTTTAGTTGGAATAATATTATGATTAAAATATTTGTTGATATGTTTAATATTGGCTGGTTTAATTTTGTGTGTCATTAACTAAGATACTCTGAAGCAGCTGTTTTATTTTTTTTATTTTTTGGCATCAATATTCTACAGATGAGATTGCTGACCAGAAAGCAAATGCACAGCATCCTGAGAAAGGGTTTCAGGGGACACTTTTGACTACAACTACTTCATCCCAAGTTGCTTAAGATGCATGCTTTGGATAGTTGTCTCCATGACACATTTAAATTCTTTAGATCAATATTCTGGAAGGAAGACCTGCATTTTGAAGGTAAGGCGTCATTCATGCATGCATGCACCCCCCACAAAAAATATTCTTCCTGCAACCCCAGCTTCTGCTTTTTGGCCATCTTTATATTTTCTTCTTGTTGGGCAGGACCAGTGGTTGGCCTTCGTTGATTTTGGCTCCCATCATTTTGACTCTGAAAGACTGGTTCAGTACATACATAATTTTAGAACTCTCTGAAAACTTTGCAATGTTTATACCTAGAGATGAACTGACCTTTTTTTGTACTGTTGGCTGATGTCTGGGAAGGCAATGAACTCGGCGATCTTTTTTTTTTCCATTTCCCTCTGGGGCAGATGGCTGAACTCGGTGGATTTTGGCAATTGCAGATCCATTGAAACATGTTGTACCTTTTTGTACCTAGAGTTGAATTAAACCATACAGCGCTGTTGGCCGACACGTGGAAAGTAAATGGAACTTTTGTTGTTGTAGATCTGCTGTGCAAAATGTCTGAAAGCTCTCCTATGAATGCTGGATATCAGTTATGTTATGGATGGCTATTCTCAGCAATTGTTCTCTGGTTCAAATGGGAACACAATTTCGCATACCCTTGTCATCAGTCTGTCAAAACTTGTGAGAAGGCTGGTATTGTGCTGTCATGCTTGCTCATCAAATATTGGGCATTAGGCCATACATTTGATGCACTGAATGCTATATGGCATGGAAATCCTCGATGGCAGCCCAACCATTATGTGAGTGCTTTATGCCTGCAACAGCCATTGACGTGGATCATTGAGCTCCTACACCATAAGGTAACATGTAGCAACTTTCTGGTAACTTGGGTTTGTCTTAGTGAGCGGCGCCACATATTGGAGTCCGGTGGCTGTTCTCATACAGTCCAACTGTCCAAGGACGGTGGGTTGAAGAACCAATAAATTGTCTAATGTTTACGATCTCCTCAGCGTGTTTCACTTGTTTATTGTTTTGTGTTGATTGCTTTTTTCTGGCCTCCTGATATGATGATGTTTGCTTGTTGGGTTTTGAGATGCCTGATGAACCAGAACCCTGTTCAAAGTTGCTTTGTCAAGAGTTGGCTTGTTCGGACTTTGGAGTACCATGATTATTGAAGGGACAAATTTCTATAAAACACGCTTGATGTTACTATTTTATAACCTCAGCAACTAAGCAAATATGAAATAAGCCCTATCAAATTTATAAGGGCTATAAAAAAGGTGCAAAGCATTAGATGAGAAGTTCCTGTGTTCTCTGGAAAGATGGAGACCGCTCATTCAAGAATAAGCTGACAGAGTCTTCTAATAATGTCTGAGAGTGATCAGATTCAAGTTAAAAATAGCGAAGAATGGGATAAATGAGCGAAACCGGGTTGTCCAAAAATATTTATTATAACAACCACTTTCTTAAAATTGAAGATGATGAATTGGTTACTGGTTAGCCATATAGTAAATGCATTTTGCAGGAAGGAAGTTTGACCTGTTATTTTTTATTTGAAGATCAATAGAAGTGGCTGCCGCCTGCCGTGTGATCTGGCATTGCACAGCGAGAGTTTTGGGTAAAAAGGCCTTCGATTTTTCTCTTGAAAATAAAAGGATGAACTCCGTTATACTTTTCTGCATTAATTAAACATCATTATTTGGTACATGAGAAATGGTAGGCGTAGTGGTCCTGACTCTGATACATAAATAGAAACTGTAAAATGCTCTTTAGATCCACCGTCTTCGTGAGTTCTGGTTTCCTTTGAACCAACGATCCCAGCTTGCGTTTACCGGACCTTGAGTCCTGTAACAAATAATTCACGAATAATCAATTATCATAGCAGCAGAAAAATTATACACGGGGGACAGTAACAATACTAATGACGATATTCTTACGATGGAAGTAGTGGATCTGGAATTGATTCAACACTTGATAGGAGTCTGCATAATAAGTAACAAGCAATGAATAGAACTCAAAACGAGGAAGGGGGAGGGGTTTAATTTTTATATCGGGATATATGCATTTATCAATAATCGATGCTTACTCTTTGCAAACAATTGACGATTCACCTAACGTATCAAGTTGGTCCAGCTCCTCCTGCATAATTAATTAAAAAATGTTACTACCAATACATACTCGGAGTTTAATTTGTTGCTTGTACTTGTAGTCCAAAAACATATGAAATGAAAGCTAACCTGTACGAAATTGATTTGATTTTGAAGTTGAGTGATTTCAGCTACCATTCGATGCTTACTGAGGAAATTGTTTGGCCCCGTTGTTGGAAGAAAACTTGATGTTTCTGCTACTACTGACTCAGCCCTTTTTGGTTCTTCAAGTGATGACACTGATTGTTGCTCATCCATTTCTATCGAATCTGATTCCATGGCGACCAAGACTAATAAGTGTTTATGGCTGGCAAACAGGAAATGGAAGGAGATGCCAAAGGAGTAGAGAAGTGGGACAAGTAGTAGGCAGACATGATTAAAGAAGAGTGGACCAAGTATATAGAAAAAAATTATGAGGATAGCGTAGACACTGGTGTATAACTCTACAAACAAGCAATAAAAGCAATTGAGTCAAAAAGTTGAATGGAAATCGCGTGACGCAGACACTGAACACGGTACACATGAATTGAATGAACGTAGCGCAGCTCGGGTCAAAACCAGACCCAAGCCCACTTTTATTCTATTCAGGAAATGCTACATCTAGAGTACCTCAATATTTTCTATGCTCTTAAAACGACAAAGGATTCCCCACAAGATGTTGGCCGAGGTGATATATAGGCCTTTTTTACTTTCTTTTTCTTTTAAGTATTCAATAATAGAGAGTATTTTTGAATTAGTTAAGAGTTGATCGATATTACTTTTTTTAGATGATTTTTGAGAACACATTCAACAACGATCTGGTGATTAATATCCTTTTTTCCATTATCATTTTTCACTATTTTTTTTAAAAAAAACTCTAAAATGTATAGATTTGGTGTTAAATCGGTAATAGCGGAGTATTTAATTTTGATCGGGAATAACTTATTCTTGATCCCATGATATGCCAAAAAAAAAAAAAAAAAGACTGACAATCCTGATTTTTATGATACAAAGTTATGGGCCTGTTACAGGCCTCTGTAGGCCTTCAAACATTACAAGATGTTTATTTGCGCAACCCAAAATTTTAGGGTTCTAATTCTACTGCAGTGCAGAGAGAAATTGCACTGCATTTCCCAGTTGGGGGGAAAATGGATTGGATGATGATGTAAGTGGTTAGCGAAGTAGCAACCAGAAAGTGGCAAAGCAAATGATGTCTTGCTGGCTGTCAATCCCATTATTCACAGCCAAACAACTCTTCAATATCAAAACAGCCTTCTCATCCTCTAAGCCAATCGTTGCTGCAGCTGTTTCCACTAGAGCCGAAAGACGTATTTCCACTACTACTGCGTCCAGTACTAAGAAAAAGAAGAAAAAGAGAAAAACAAATCCGCAGAGGAATTTGTTGTGGTGAGAAAAGATAAGGAAAAGAGAAGAACTCGTTCAGAGAAAGAATTTGAGGAACTCGATTTTCATAAGACTGAAAGTCACGTCCCTGTAATGCTAGGGGAAGTTGTTGATGTTTTCTCTTCGTTACATCTTCGCTCTTTCATCGATTGCACTCTTGGCGCCGCCGGTCATTCCTCTGCTGTCAGTACCTTTGCCATTTCTTTTTCTTAACTTTAATTTTGTTAGCGACATTCAATTTTATTTGTTTGATAATAGCAACATGTGGTTTTTTTTTCATTTGACAGATAATAAAGGGGCATCCTGAATTAGAATGTTACATAGGAATGGATGTCGATCCAGTTGCACATGCCAAGTCACGTGCTAACATTGATGCTCTCTTGCATTCAACTCCTTCCAATTTGAAACCACACTTGCTTTTCAAGAATTTTAAGTATATAAAATCTGTGATTGGTGAGATTGATGATTACAATCTCTTGAGCTGTGGAGTTGATGGCATCTTAATGGACCTTGGAATGTCATCCATGCAGGTTTATCTAACTGAACCATTTCTTACTTCCTGATTTTGTACTACTTAACAACATTTCCTTCTTTTTTGACAATCGCTTGCTAATTTTAATTTATAGGTGAACAATCCTCATAGAGGGTTTGGTGTACTGGCTAATGGACCTCTTGATATGCGGATGGATCCTCGGGTATTAGCTCTCATTAAGCTACCCTTTAAGAACATATTATCATGTTTATTGTCAACATTGTTTTGTTTAATTTTAAATTGGAAATAGATTATCCATTCTTTTTGCTGGTGTGGTTTGTCTGAAGGATATTTAATTTTATCTAAATTAAAGGTGATGAAGGTTAACGAGAAATTTTATAATACACAAGCAGTAACTAGTGGCATGTACAGTAGTTATTTCATGACTTCACTTGAAAGAAAGAGATAGAAAAAGAGAGAGAGAGAGAGAGAGAGAGAGAGAGAGACAGGAGAGAGAAATCTTCTTATCACTTTTGGTGGATCCGGATGTAATTTTATGTGTCCATCTCTTTCCTCCAAGTAGATTCATGGAGTAATTACTATATATACCACTAGTTACTCCTTGAGTATTATAAAATTTTTCAAAGGTTAACTAGTATCATTCGCTTTAGGAATGGATATGGAAAGATGAGAACCAATGAAGGCAGATTTTCTTTCTTGAGCCAATCTAGTCTGCATTAAGACTTAGTGGAGTTGAGTTGATTTTTTATGGTTGAGGGGAAATCTTAGGGAGTAGGCCAAATTTGAACTGTTGAGAAAATCTCATGATATGTTATCTCAGTTTCTTTCTGGTACTATTCTGGTATTCGATGCTTTTCTCTCAAGTGTCACAAGGGATGTGACTAAGGGCCATCTGTTTTATTTGTTGCTCTTCAAAATGTCAACATTACATCTCATCGGCACTTCCTAGCAGTTTATTTTATGTTTATAATCATGTTAGCCGAAGCCCATTTGAGATTTTACAAAGATCTTCTTTGAATTATAAGATCAATTTGAAGCTTGTACAAGTGACCACAGATACAGCTAGATGCAATGACTAGGATATGCCTTTTAAATCACTGGCTCATGTTCCCTTGTGTAGGGATAAATTTGCTGGCCACATTTTTGTGGATGAAATTGCGAACCTTTTTGCTCATTGTTTTTTTAATCTATGTTGCAGAAGGGGAAGGGTTGTTAAGGGCTTAGTTTCTCATATAACCACTAAAATGTTTTTTCCATGTGATTTTCTATCAAAGTTAGTGGAGCCCGTTTTGGCTCAATGGCACCCATGGCTGCCTCCCTGTAACAAGTCTCGGGTTCGAACCCAAAAAACAGTTAGTGGAGGAACAGAAACTCATGTGGTATATTGGTTTTCAAGGTCTCTGCATTCACTTTTAAAAGGAGAACTTTGAAGATGCTAATTTTTCATATCTCAGGCTCAGTAAAATTTATGTTCATTTTAACTGACTGGAACAGGCATGTGACAGGCAAGTGTGAAAGCAAAAGACATATTAAATTATTGGCCAGAAGATGAAGTGGGCCGAATTCTGCGGGAGTATGGAGAAGAAAGCAACTGGCGTTGGCTTCAGAAAAAGGTTGTTCAGGCTCGTCAACAAGGTGGTTTGCATTCTACTGGCGAACTAAGAGATCTTATTCAGGGTACAACTCGTGGAGCAAGAGGTGGGCCTTTTCTCAATACAGTCCGTGGTTACATTGTTTTACTTTGCCTTTTCTATTCCTTCTAAAGTTAAGGTATCCTTGTGCCAACATTGTTCAACAAGTTACATGCCTAAATCTCTGCTGACACTTGGTGTTATACCACCTGCTGCATTGTATCCACACACACACACACAAAAAAAAGGAGGGGTTGGGCCTTGAGTCTTCCTTGCACTGACTAGGCAATAATGATTAAATTGTTACTATTACATTGCTACAGAAGGGAGGCAAGGTTGGATAAAGACAGCAACACGGGTGTTTCAAGCTCTGAGAATAGCTGTCAATGATGAACTTAATACCCTGGAGAAGTCTCTTCATGCCTGTTTTGAGTCCCTTGCCCCTGGAGGAAGGCTTGCTGTCATCTCTTTCCACAGTTTGGAAGACAGAATTGTAAAACAAGCATTCCTCAAAATTATTGAAAGCAACGAGGGAAATGGAGATGGGGTTGAAGAAGAGACGGGTAAAAGAGATTTAAGAAAGGTGAGAAATGAGAGTGATGCAAAAGAAGCATGGATTCGACAGATGGTACGAGGCCAGAATGGAACAATCCTAACCAAGAGACCAATTACACCATCTGAAGAGGAGGAAGGATTGAATCGCAGGTCTAGGAGTGCCAAACTTCGTGTGATAGAGAAAGTTCGTTGAGATATATGTATTGCGGTTGCTGACTTGCAGGCCCTTACCATTGAGGGAAAATCCATGTATAATTTATGATCTGTACCTTAATTGTTGTTACTTCATTGTTTCATTAGTTTTATAATCGGTCAGCTTATAGCATGGGTATTTTGTTTTGCATTTTGTAGCTATGACCAGAAGCAAGAATAAATCTATTTATTCTCCAAACCTATAAACAAACGAATGATAAATCAACGGAGAGAAATGAAATTGATGAAAGTAAATTCCAATCTAATTTCACTCCTCAAAACTGTCTGGCAATTCCACTCTTAATCTTTTGTTGGGCCATGGGATTGGACTGTCGAAGTCTATTGAGCCCAAGTTTGATGAGCATGAAAATAACAGAAAATATTTATTAATAATAATACAAGAAAAATATCAGGCTCGAGTTTAACTAACTGCTAACTACCAAAACATGAATTGTTATCGTTAACTACAAATTATTGTTGGAGTGGTGATGACAGTGACAGTGGTCTAAAACTGAACAGCTAAAACAACAACAAAAAATACCACAAAATTTATCCTCCCTTGCAAGAGAGGTACTGGTTTTTCGTCTCGGAAGTCAGAACTTGAAATTAACTGGTGAATGAAAGCTAACCTCTCCGCCTGAATTTGTGCTTTTCTTTCTTTTTTTGTCTGAATTTGGAGTTATAATCCTTCACTTCCATGGTCCATCTGGGCTATGGTCTGAGAGGTATTTAGAGAAACATGTAGTATTCTTTCCTAACTTTCTGGTGTACGAGCTAAAATTTTGGTTTGCTATGATGGGTTTTGATTTTCATGTTTGTTAATTGGGTCATTCAGGGAACCTGTGGATGAGGATGATGGTACCAAGTAGTAACAAATGGAAAGCAACAACAGGGATAGAAGGCTTCACCACATTCCCATCCTTTGCTTTTCCATACCTCTCCAATTGCAGGTTTGTATTTGGTGTCTTTGTAACCCAACTTTCGTTTACCAAGTATAACTGTTTTCTGGAATTGAATTTTATTATATAGATTTTCTTTTTCTTTGCATCGGTTGTTGTCTTATAGTGTGAACTATATCCAGGAAAAGAAAAGAAACTGTTAAGGTATGTAGAGCCAATATGGCAGTGTATAACTCAAAGAAAGCAAATTTAACTGCTGGAAGAAAGGAAAGAATGAAGTTGCCAATTACTGATGGTGGTTATCGCATCAGTGAATTTCTAAGTCACCCATTTGGAATTCAAGCTATGTTGAACACAAGGAGTTTGCAAAGTTTTCAGTCACTTGATGCCAACACGTATAGGTGCATTTTGCCAAAAGTTGAACTTCTTAACTTTGAAGCAGCACCTGTGCTAGACTTACGAGTTACCCCATCGGATGAAGATTGCACTGTCGAGATGATTTCTTGCAAGGTAGAATCAACCAATGTACTTAATGCAATAGGAAGGAAGGAAAAAAAAAAAAAAAAAAAAAAAAACTACAAAAGAGCCAAAGAGGGATTCTTCTTTTTGAGCTCGGCTATTGTTTGAGCATATATTTACTTTAATGATATCAAAAGGATGTATAAAATAATAGATGGTTGAAGGAGCAACTAAATTCGGAGGAGAATCTGCTTCTCTGTTTTCACAGTAGATGTATCACTACTATCCATTTCTTTAAATTCAAAAAATTTTGCAGATCCCTTTTATATGTATATCCATCTTGATGATGCCTAATTTGATAAATGTGGATTAATGATTTCCCCTGCAGTTTCAAGGTTCAGAGCTTGTGGAACGCCAAAATGACCGTTTTTCAGGTGCAAGCAGATCTCTTAACTTCTGCAGGAGAATAGTGTATGAGAAAGCAGTTTTATACTACTTATAGCAGTAAACATTTCTTTCCTTGTTCAAATTTAAGAATACAAAAAAATTCAGGTTTCTCATGCATTGCTGAAACCTTTTTATAAATAACGATTACCATCATAGCTTTTGTATGTTCTAAATGTTTAGGTGTCATATCACATATAATACAGCTCTCTTCTATTGAAAAGATACGGTCTTATCAAGAATTCAGAATGCTTTCTTTGACCAGATTGTTTTGGAGATTCAACAGTGTTTCTTTGTTATTACAGAAGTTTATAATGAATGCTACGAGATTTTTGCATATTCTTGCAATAAATATGTTTCCATATGCTTGACATTTCTTTTGGAATTTGCTGTCTTCAGCTTTCATGATGAACTATATGACTTGGAACACAAGTGCTTCTGAACCATTTTTGGAGGTTGACGTGAAGTTGAATCTCATGCTTGAGGTTGTTAATACACTTTTAGATCATCATAATGGCTACGAAGTTTTATGCTTTATTGTCATGGTTACTGAAAGCCTGTTCTTGTAAGCTGGCTCCTTTCGATTTTTTCCAGACAATTAAATTTTAAACCTGGGGCTCTTGTCTAGTGCAATGATTAGTGTCTCTCACCCAATATAACTGCTTGGGTGATTAAAAGAAGACACTTCTTGTGAAAATGGTGAAGACTGTTTCAGATTATCTCTTTGGGATCATGATTCAGCATGGCCATAGCTGGGCAACTGCTCTTTGGCTGGCTGTTAAACATAGATGGTTTAACATCAGTCCCTGGGCATTGAAGTAATTATGGCCTATAACGTCATCATTTATCAGCTTGTCAACTGGTGTCAATGTTTATCCCCTAAATGGAGTAATTTAGCGAAATATTTTTAAACTAACAAAAGTTGGTCTGTAATACAATATGATTTTCATGTTGATATTAAATATTTCCTTACTCTTATATCAGTCGAAGACTTGCCATTTCTCTGTAACTATTTATTTATTTATTTTTGGTTCATCAATTGTCAATCTGACGCTGAAGTTTGATCTAGACTTCTTGGTTCATGACAATATTGGTTGTTGTTTCTGTTTCTTGAAGTTGAGTCTAGTGGACTTTCAAATGAGTTGCTTGTTCAAGTTCTTAGATGGTGTGACTAAATGTCTTCTTTATCAGAAAGTAAAAAACAAAAATGTGGATAAGTTTTCAAGTCTTGTTTGAAAAATATCACGATCTTGTGAGTCAGTCCTATCTCAGATGCTCGGGTTTTCTGCTTAATGGACGTAATATTGACTAGCTTGCCTTTTCTCACCAGTCATAACTGAGCATTTCCTGTTTTTATTCATTCCATGTTTTTATTCTACTTCAGTGAGTAATTTATTGCATTTGCCCATGTCTTTTCTTGACCTGGACACTGAGCAAGTAAATATGGCATGCTTAAAAGGTCTTCATTCTTTGTGTACAGATTTACACTCAGCCCTTTATTTTGCTGCCAACATCTGCTGTTGAGAGTGCTGGAAATTTGTGAGTGATTTTACTATGAAATTCAAATTAACAGTATATGCTCTTGCGGATTTAACTGTCGTTATAAATAATTCTTCTAACATATTTCGGCATTTGTTGCTCTGTACATGATACTGGAATTAATGAGCCTTTATGAGTATGTTGGCCTGATTTTACCAGTGAAAATAGATCTTGCAAAAAAGTATACCACTTAAATGTGGCATCACAATAGTTGTTTCTGTGCTTTTATCGTGTCAACTAAATATATATATATATATATATATCAGCCAAGGATTAGCGTTTTAACGGCCATTTTGAGTGAGCTTCCTCAAAGCCATTGTTTAATCAGTTTCCTACAACATAATATGAGTATCAGAGTGGGTAGATTGGGGTCATTGCATCTGGAAAATAAAAATTAAGTTCACCCAAATGATGTGAGACTTCAACATCCCCTAAAAGAAATTATACCTTTCATCAACTACATCCTGAGAGTTACAGCTTCTTTGAAATTTCAAGAAGACGTTTATAGTTGCAAGAAGTTTGTTCCTGCTAAATATGTAGGAAAGTGTTTCTTTTTATTGCTGAGTAATTGGCTAATATGAACATGTAATTTCAATAAATCAGTAATTCTTTCCTATTTTGCAGGATGCACTTTTTTTTTCACTAGTATTTCTGCAATTTTAGGAACAGAGCTACCATATAGACCCTATTCAAACAGTTGAACTTTGCTGACATACAGAGTTATGCAAGCTGTACTGGATAGGCTCGTACCATTACTTCTGGAGCAACTACTGCTAGACTATAACAAGTGGGCAAATCAACAACCTGCAACTATTCGTGGCTAGGTGATTCCTTTGAACTTGCAATTGCTTTTCATTTATTTTATTCTCATAAAAATTGATGACAATTGTTGACTCTATGTTTAGAGTTGAATCGAATTAATCAATCGTTCAGATACTAGAGAACATCTTATGTGTTTTCTGGAAGATTTTAAGATGCTCCATTTTCATTTGTCCAGATCACTTCTGCATGTATGCAACCAATGCTTTCATGACTTCTCCACGCTCCTTCTGTATCTAAAGAGTCCCGCGAATTGGTTTTGTTATCTCAGTTAGGAAGTGATTGACTCGATTGATTTTGCAATCGGTGTGGGTCTTTAATCTGCAATACTAGATCATTAAAGAAGTTCTAAAATGCTTGCTTTGCGTGCTTTTGTAGTTTTATATGATCAATGATGATAAGTAGACCTGGTGATTAAGAGCAAATGAAAAATAGATATTAACATTCATATCTTATATTATAATGAGCTTAGGGAGCCAACCTAGTCCATGGATGTTCCTCAAAAAAAGTTCCCAAAAGAAAAGAATAAGGATGCCTGTGAAGGTATCAGGAAAATAAAAAGTTGTCACGACAGATTTATTGCTAAATGTAGTTAATTCGGATTGTAAAACGATTCAAACTTGTCGTAATTTTTGATAATATAAATATATCTTATTGCAGTTCATGTAGATTTTAGGTAAAAGATAGCAAGATGAAATTTCTGGTTGTTAGCATCTTTCCTGGTTGTATGAAACATCTTTTGAGTGCTGCTGGGTCCCATCTCATATCACAGGCTAGTAGCAAAGTGATAAAAAATGGAATAATCATCAAGAACTATTAAGTGACTGCTTATTTATGGGCATAGACCACGTGATGCACAGAGGTGATGCCAATTATCTAATCAGACAGTTTCAAGATTCGTAGCTGACGCCTCATTTTCTGCATGCTTTGGCCGTGGACATTCAGGCTTCGCTTGGTAGAGAACGGAGGAGCTCAGCAGCTGGGTGCTACATGAAGAAAACTCTCGCACTGAATCTTCTTCTCCGTCGCAGTGATACTCCGCAGATTTTGAATCCTCCTTCAGCCTTGGATCTTTCTCTGGATTATGGAATTGCATGAGAATGGTGCGTTTGAGGGTTTTGATTAATTTGTTTCTGTTATCCATTGTTAAAAAAAAAAAAAAAATCACCTGGAGCTAGCATCCCAACCTGTAATACTATCAGCGTATTTAATCAAGTTATTTCAAAAAATGAGTGAAGCAGTGTAGAGTGTAGACTGCTTCGATTCGGAATGAACTTTTTATTGGGGCATTATAGAAAGGTTAGCAAAAAGAAGACACAAAGAGGGTAAAATTATAGGTTAAGCTGGGATATTCTCGTAGTTCCTCCTCTTTATAGTAATAGTAAATTCAGTTTCAATATTACTTAACTGCTAATTAATAATGCTAATCTCTTTAATTATCTAACTATAGTATGGCCAGAAAGAAAAATAATTGAATTGAGTTGTTCATTATGAACGACCTAGCTACCCATTGCCTGAAAAATTTGTTCACAAAATAAGATTCAAACCTAAGACCTTGTAAAAAAAAGTGAAACATTAATTTTAATTGAGATACAATATATTAGCAAAAATGATTAAAAAAAATTGACAAAGTCAACATTGATTTTGATTTTTCACAAAATAAACGAGATTAGGAGTTGGTCCTACCATAGCTAGTTCCTAGTCATACATAAATTAAGAAATGCCTCTTCTAACCAGCATTAATTCCTAACAGGTGACGATGGAAAGGGAAAAATCCTGGCGGATAATGCTCTGTTCTAGTCGAGACATAGATGTAAAATCGGGTCATTTGAAGATAATAATTTGATCAGTGAGGAATATTGAATCAAGAATCAAGAAATTTCTTCGTTCTGCCATTTTGCTAGAGTTTATTGTCCGTTCTCGCTTCATCTGTTCGTACTGGCTCTTCGTGTATATTTTACAAAGTAGAGTACTGTGTGGACGACCGTTGCCTAAAAAACCCTGCCCTGTGCTTAATTATCGCACGCTCACTTTGATGACAAGATGTCAACAATACAAATAAACAGTAGTTAGAGGTGCTTTTCTATGGACGAGACCCAGTTCAGCGCAGCCCATAGGTAACGAAAAAGTCTTTCTTGTATATCAATTCATCAGCTTCATATTAATTGATAATTGCAAAAAAAAAAAAAAAAAAAAGGCTTGTAGTTTAATAACAGTGGTCTTTTATAATAAAAAATTACAAATTCAAATTTTAATATATTAGTTTTAATAAGAAAAACTTAGATCCAATTAAAAAAAAAAAGATTATTGCAAGGAAAAAAAATCATAATACTCCATCTGAATAGGTTTTTTTCCCCTTCTTGAGGACTCCAACTTTTGAACAATAATTCATCCTTTTAACAGTGGCAAAATAACTTCGGAACTTTTAAGTGGTGGTTGGTTTGTTTTTTCTTTTCTTTTTTCAGTTTAAATAGGAGTTATATGTGAAGGTTTTTTGTATATAAAAAAGGAATTGCTTTCTGACTTTTCTCATCGGATTTTAAATGAAACATGAAAAGATTTAAATTCATCGTCTAAACTCATTGATTTATTATGTTGTGATGAAAATCAATTACAACTCCAGAGTGCATATGCTTAAAATCAAAGTAGTATGGAAAAAAATCTATAAATAACATCAAAAAAAAAAAATGTGTAACTAGGGATTTTATTTTTTCTATTAGGACCAAAATAAAAATGTCAAATCAACTTAGAACCAAAAACCCAATCACTAGTAATTTATGAAGAGTGAATACCCATGTTAGTTGTTACAACTTACAAACCCACAAAATTCATTTCTTAATGACCCACTCATTTATTATATTGTCTCCTAGTAGACTCCACACCCTCTTTCTCCTCTTTTTTTTTTTTACTTTCTTGATACATTTTGATATAGACAGAGACACGCTTTCACGTTTGATCTCCTTCCAAGTTCAACCAACCCATAATACCACACCTTTGAGACAATTTTACCCTTGGAAAACCACATTGGAATGAAATCTTCACGATCAATTTCGACCTTTCCTGCTTAAGATTCCTCCGCGTTCTAAACGCTGCATCGTTCTCTATCCGTGAAATTTCCTAAAATGAAAATATATTACCTCATTGCCTGTCCCTTTCCCTCCGTCTTAAAAAAATATATATATATATAGTAAGAAGAATATCCTTATCGAAGTTGCTGAAATTCACTATATTTTCCGTCTCGTAACATCTTGAACGTCTACCTGCCTTAATAAAAGAGAGAAGAAAAGTCCTCCTTAGGTTTTTCTTTTTCTTTAATTTTAATCCTCTATGTAAATACACGTGGAGACATGCCACATCTATAAAATCCAAGACTCACGTATCTGTTCAGGCAAAAAGCCTAGTAGATTTCACTTCTTGAGTCTCTAACCTGTCTCTGTCTCTCTTAACAGAGAGCCTCTCTTTTTATCTTTTCTTGATCAAGTTAAAAACCATAACAATATCTTTTGGCTTACAACATAACTGACCATAAAGATTCGAAAAGATGGAGAAGGAGAGCCAAAGGAGCGTATCATTGGTGATGACGATGCTGTTGTTCTTTATAGTAATGACTGCTAATTTTCAAGGCTGTTTATCTGCTGCCAGTCAAACACCCATCAAAGGAAAGTCAACCACGCTTGATAATGATCGCGTTGGCTCCTCTGTTGTCTTTCGTGTCACCGGAAATGTTTATCCTACTGGGTGCGTGTTTTCTTGATGCCCTGCAAAAATATAATGAAAATCTCGGGTTCTTGTTTGAATTTGGATTCTTCTGTTTCTTGGTGCTATTATTTTTTAATGGTTTGTTTGATTTTTAGTTTGTTTTATTAGAAGGATTTTGGGGTGTTTTAAGTTTGTTTGGATTAGATTTTTTTTGTTGGTTTGGGGGAGAATTGCTTAGCCATTCATCAACTATGAATTCCATTGCCTCGACGATAATTTCATGATCATTTGTTTTTCTTTTCTTTTCTTTTCTTTGTTTCTTTTTTATTTGCTTGTTTGACTGCCACAACTGGATCTTTTTGTTTTTGTTTTTGTTTTGTTTTGTTTTCTTTCTTTCTTGTTTATTTGCTTATTTGACTGCCATAACTGGGTCTCTCTTGTTTGGGTAATACGTTGCCTTTTTGGAAGGATTCTTTTGACATTTCCGCTCGCCTTCTCCTGATTCAATTCCACTTTATGGATTCTTCTATGGACAATCGAGACCCCGCGCGCTTGTAGTCCTATGTAGTTACTTTAGCATTTCTTTAGAATTTCCTTTTCTCTTCCTCTAGAAAGTATCGACTTGACCCGTTTCACATAAAACAGTTCTATATTAAGTGTTTTTTTTTTTTTTTTTTTTTTTTTTGGGGTGGGGTGGGGGACCTGATACCCATTTCCCAGAATTGCTTATTATTTTAGCTCTTCTTTTAAAGCTTTAATTGAAGTAGAATATTCTTCTTGACAATTTGCAGGTACTACTCTGTGATTCTTAACATAGGCAATCCACCAAAGGCTTTTGACTTGGATATTGATACTGGCAGTGACCTCACCTGGGTCCAATGTGATGCCCCTTGCAAAGGTTGTACTAAGGTAAACGTATCCTTCCCTAATAACAACAATCAACAATGTAACAAAGTCTTATAATGGCGTTGCATGGTGTTTAATATGCATGCTAATGTGTGCAGCCTCGTGATGAACTTTACAACCCAAAGAACAATCTTGTGCCTTGTTCAAATTCCTTATGCCAGGCCGTCAGCACAGGAAAAAACTACAATTGCGAAGTCCCAACTGAACAGTGTGACTACGAAGTCGAGTATGCCGATCTTGGTTCATCTCTTGGCGTGCTGCTGTCAGACTACGTTCCACTACGATTAACCAACGGCTCTCTTCTCCGACCAAGAATTGCCTTCGGGTGGGTATCATGCATTCCATCCTATTTGACTCACCCTTTTACTTTTGTTTGTGCTTGATAACACAACTAAGCTTGCGGGAAACTTAATTTTTATTGTTGACTACTGTAGAATTCGTTGTGGCATATACTAATTTATATGATTTTGTAAAAGTTCGAACATGAAACACAATCTTGAAATACGATGCAATCCTGCAGGTGTGGATATAATCAAAAATATCTTGGCCTACACTCACCTCCTGACACAGCTGGGATCCTTGGCCTTGGCAGAGGCAAAGCAAGCATTCTTTCACAGCTAAGAACCATGGGTATCACAAAAAATGTGGTTGGCCACTGTTTCGGTAGGGTAAGGGAAGGCTTTTTGTTCTTTGGAGATCATCTTTTGCCATCTTCAGGAATCACCTGGACACCAATGCTACATAGTTCCTCAGAGTAGAGTGCTCTAGCTCCGTTCTTTTCCTTCTTTAGGCCATTACTCTCGACTTTTATTTAACTTAGTTATTTCAATTAAAATGCACTCGTTCTTTTTTCTTTATCCTTTTTTCTTCAGCACACTATACTCATCAGGACCGGCAGAACTTCTTTTTGGTGGAAAGCCAACTGGCATAAAGGGACTGCAGCTTATTTTTGACAGTGGGAGCTCCTATGCCTACTTCAATGCTCAAGTTTATCAGAGTGTACTTAATCTGGTGAGATATACTTGATTTTTGATATTGGGAAGTAACACTGGATCAGAAAAGAAACATTCAGTAAAATATTTCGTTACAATTACTTCTGTCTCAGGTAAGGAAGGATCTTACTGGAAAGCCATTAAAAGATGCCCCAGAGGAGAAGGCACTTGCAGTATGCTGGAAAACTGCAAAACCTATCAAATCTATAATTGACATCAAGGGTTACTTCAAGCCCTTGACCATAAACTTCACAAATGCAAAGAATGTGCAGCTGCAGTTGGCACCTGAAGACTACCTCATTATCACTGTAAGCAGCTCAAGAAACCATTGACAAGTTTCCTACAATTAGCAACCATACATTTAGACCATTTTTGCGTAATACCTGCAATCAGGAAGCATATCTAACAACGTGTCCCATTTCAGAAAGATGGTAATGTATGCTTAGGGATTCTGAATGGCAGCGAGCAAGGCCTGGAAAACTTCAATGTGATTGGAGGTGAGAGAAATTAACAGTACCACAGACCCCATCTGAAAAAACCCTTTTATATTTCTTGATCAAGTGAATCTGATTCCTCTGTTCGTTGCTATCCACAGATATTTTTATGCAAGACAGAGTGGTGGTTTATGACAATGAGAAACAACAGATCGGATGGTTCCCTGCAAATTGCAATAGACTTCCCAAGTCCTGAACCATTCTCTTGTAATATCTTCTTTCTATATACTTAATCTTGGAACTTCCTCACCAGGATTTTTTTCTTTTTTCCTCCTGTTTATTTAACAGCGTGGATCGTGAATATAATGGAGGTATTTCTCATCAGCCTTATGCAGCCTACTTTGATATCCTAGAGGAGCGTTGTCCTGCAACCTATGCTTTTGAGAAGGCTAATGAGCTGATTGACACACAACTTTTCAACAAAAAATAGTAGGCAAAAATGTAATGTCATTAGACATAATACGGATACATACATAGATGATGTAAATGGGTTTATCCCACATACGAGGAAAAAAATAGTTTGTTACAGAACATATTGACATATGAGAGTCCTTGTTCCATTTCTGCTGCAAGTTAGCTACATGATTAAATACAAGAGAAAATACCACCAGCCATCCCATAACTGTAGCTTCTACAAGGAGTTAATTGTGTGAGAAATTGAAATAAGTTGATTTAGTTACTATTTCGATGACTACAAATAGGATTATACCTGCACAAAACCAATGGGGATGCATAAGGCACATAAAATTAGATTTTACGGAGCAGAATGTGTTTTGGGGTTCATATGGCCACATATCAAGAAATGCATATAGGATAGGACCCCAGTAATTGTATCCCTCTTCACTTATTTCGTTTTTTTTTTTTTTTTAATCACAAGTTTTCGTGTAGAAGAAAAGCGTAGGTGCTTTTATTGCGTCGAGTGGTGAGGTTGCAACAAAATATTAGAACATTAGTACATTGGCGTGACCATTTTGGTGCAGATGAAGAGTGACGCTTAGATGCCTCTGAAAACATAATCCATCGAAGGTTTAGGAAATTTCCCATGTTCTTGGTTATCATAGCAACTTTACAAATAGTGAATTAAGCTAAAATAATATAATCTCGGTTGACGCAAAAACTGGATTGAACCGAGGATACCTCACTAAATGTAATATCAAAAAAGAAAAAAATAAATAAGGTGAAGTCTGATTCAAAGAAATGTAAATATCCTGACAGGGTGTGGCCAAATAACAATGCAACAAGACAACAAGATCATAATGCATGGTGAATAGATATTGCTAGCCCTAGATTAAGGATTTTACCAAATGGTATGTTGCCAAGGGCAGACAATCAAAATCCTATGATTGAATCTACAATAAAACATAGGTAATGACATTAATTATACCATCATTGTAAATATAGATATGACTCGATTTTGAAATTACTGGAACAATTAGCTATAAAAACATCATAGTAGACACTACTTTAGAATAGAAATAAATTAGGCAACAAGACTAACCTCAAAGGTCAGAAACACCGATGGCAGCAACATTCCGTGAGTTGAATTGACATATCATCAGACACGATTTGCACACTGCATGGTAAAGCAACTAATACGAGATGATCAATATGTGATACTGATATGAATCACAAAAAACTCATTAGTTCTAATCAAATGTACTCAACACACATTGCACAATCAAACTCCAAACCCTAGGCATGAAATAAGCATGAATAGGTTTTATTTTTAATGCAAATATCATCAAAATAACACTTGCAAGTTAAACTGGAGACAATATACTTGTTGAAAGGAGAAAACACATGTTAACGAAGCAGCAAAACAAAGTACATCCAGCAACCTCATATACAAGAGCGAGAATAAAAGAACGTCACCTTGGCATGACAAATTTTTGTTGTGGCTTCAACATGAAAATTCTGTAGATCTTCAAGAGCTGTGACGTCCAGACCATCTATATCTTCAACCTAATTAAACATTTGAGTTAGTTCATTGTAATTAGTAGCTTGTCTGTTTGTATAAAAATCAATTGTAAAGAGACCATTGAATTCAAACAAAAAGCAGGATTTTGAATATAAAAATCCCACATGTTTAATTCCTAAGGTCTCAACAATGAAATTGAAAACGCAATAAATTGGAATGTTGGGCCCCACTATGGTCTAATAGCATAAGTTTATGCCATTGAATTTCTGATAAGCTCTTAATGGATATTGTCTCAGTGATCTAGGACACTAGATCAAACTGTTGTGTACTCTCAACATCTCTACACAGGCACATGCATGCACTCTTACACATACGCAAGTGTTCGGTTAACATCTTGCCAACATGGAAAATCTGAAAATCATTTTATCCAAGGTACACTAAAGTGGAACTTGTTATGAAATTTCAATTTGGTCAAGAAAATCAATACCTTCGGTCTTGAAATAATGCTTTCCAGCTGTTCACATCTTCTTCTTTCTTTCTGATAGCTTACTTTCAACTCTTCTAATCTTGTTATTACATCAATGTTGTCATAGGTTTCATCTTTGGATATTGTAGAAGTATCACCATTAGATGGTAGAAATCCATTTTTAAGACCTGCTCGAAAAGTGTTGGATGCATGAACCACTTCAGATGGCAGGTCCTCAGCATCAACACCATACTTTCTCATCTTTGCAACCAGCACCCACATATTGGCAAGCTCTTTTTCCAAATCTTCTTCATGTTGTTTTGCTTTGTGAAGTTGGTTTCGTAGCTCACCTTCTATTTGGTTTCTCTCAGATACTGTCATTTCCAATGCAGCTTCTCTTTGGTATCTTTCATTTAGTTCTTTCTGCAACTCCTCAACCAAAAGACCATTCTCAGTTTTTCTGATGCGTCCATCAGGTCGAGAACCATTGGAGTTGCTTTGTTTAAAATCATATGAAACAGACCTCTGACAACAGTTAGATTTGCAATGTGTCTCTTTTGCAGCAGCCAGATCACCAGTCAGCTTCGCATTTTCATAAGACAGCTTTGTTACTTCTTCAGCCAAATTTTGGAGCTCAATGGCAGCAGCTGCAGCCAATTCTTTTGCATATGATGCTTCCTCTGCCAGTTTTTGACTTTGAATTTCAAGCCCATCCTTCTCTTCGATCAGCTTCAGCCTCTCTTGCTTCAGATTCTCTATCTCAGAAGCCTACAAATACATAAACAAAGCCCATCACTTGAAAGTCTTGAACCATTCAAACCCACCAGAGAGAAGATGGAAAACATTAGGCACTTGTCAATCAGTATATCCAAAAGATAGCATAAAGACAAAAAAAGAAATTTGATTTTTGAGTAACTATCAAGAATGTGCCAAAAAAAGGGGAAAAAAAGACAAACTGACCTGTATAAGAACTTGAGAATTAAAAAAACTAGTGTCATTGCACTCTTTGGAGTCCTCTTGGGAAAATATTCGATTCAAACTCATGACACTTTTTGGTGTGTTTTCATCAGCATAAATTTCTTCACATGAACAAATCTCATTTCTCCCTTCTTTGCTCTTTCTTTGTGTGGCAGACTCAGATTCTGCGATATGTTGTTTGCTGGAGCTCTTTTCTGATAATGAATTTAGCTGTTGCCTTAGCAGAAGAATTGTTTCCTGCATTTCATTGTTCTCTGATATCTGATACAGCGACCATGTAATTTTATTAACTATTCACATTTTATAGCAAAGAGAACGTGATTGTACAGCTCTAGCATCTACCTTCATCTGTAGTTGCTCCTGAAGTATCCTATTGTCTGCTGACTTGATCTTGGATACTCATCCCGCAACAAATACATCAAGTCAGTGAAACATCCTACCATTTGATATTGAAAAAATGATCCTTGCTGCTAGCCAGTAAATAGGATAACAAACCTCAAGTTCAAATGTATTTTCATTTAGCTGAGTAGTGAGCTTGGATAGAGCCTGCAGTAAAGAGAAGGAAACAAATTAGAGGCCAAAGGTTACTGATTAAGAAATATTTCCTCCATCTGGCAAAGGTGTCTTACTGTCACTACTTCGTCCCTATATTGGTCAACCATCATAAAAATGCAAAGCATTCTAATCTATTAAATTCCAGCAATTCAAAATAAAAATTATTTCACTACTTCACTTAAAAACAATTCTAATGGTTGCAGTTCACACATTTTTTCCCCAGCTTCTTCAAATTCTGCTAAGCCTATCACAATCACATCACACAGTTACCTGTGACATTTCAATGCTGGTTGATGTATTTGAAGTCATTTCAACTGATCCAATCATGCGTCGCTCCAGAACATGCATCTGATGCTTCTTTTCACTAATTTCATCTTTCAACTTTTTCATATGTTCCTATGTCAAATGATATGACCATCAAAATAAACCCATTATTTAAAATCAATGTTTTGGTTCCTGGCCAATGAAGAGACCTGAGAAATCAAATAGGTTGACATTTTATATAAATCTACAAGGCAAAGAGGATTATCACCTTCAGCTGTAAATTTTCAGGGCTGCTAGCTGCTTGCTCTGACAGTCTCTTCAGAGAGCTAGTACACAAGGCTAATTCCCCAGCTAACATTTTCACCTGCTCACGAAGAAGATCCATTTGATCTGTAATTGTGGTGCCAGTCTGCATGGAAGGCATTCAACCATTGCCGTTAACCCTTGACCTTTGCTGAAAAGCAGATATTATGCATATTCCAAGGGAATCAACAGAGCAACATAAATAAGCAAACTACGTCAAATTAAAAATAGGGGAAAAATATACACCAACAACACAAATTACCAAGTCCACTGTAGTAATCAATGGATCGTTAGACACTTGCTGAGTTGATTACATGATGTATACGCCAAAATGATCTGGCAGTAATTTACAGAAGATGCCTATATTCTACAACCCAAGTTACATCAAGATGACATTAGCATTTATCTCCAATTTCCCAAACCACTCATGACCCTAACTGGTGTTTACTCATGCACGACTTTGTTTGCAAACCCTCAAAGGGAAGTAGGAAACAAAGACTTCTTAGAAATAGAACGACCTTATACTCCTTGTCTTATTTGTATTCTACATCACCCTTCTTTCACCACTGACTTGTGAATGGTACACGGTCAAGCAAAAACATGGATATCCCTCTATCTATTTAATAGCAACTGCATGCCCCATCTTCCAAACACACCTAATACATTATCAGGAAAGGGTAGCAGACATAGTTGTCTTCGGCAATTAGAGCAAAAAAATGACCAGATTCACAGCATTAGATCACGATATCTCCATATATGATGCATATGAAATAACAAAGTAGTGCTGAGATATTGAAATAGCAGTTACAGTTCCTCTCACCGGAGGCAATCGGCGACCTCCAACGGTAGCACTAAACAAGTCACCAGCTTGTGTTCTTTCTGGAAATGAATCAATGAGGGTGGTTTCATCTCCCCTTCTGCTGATTGATTTTCTCTGTCCATCTTTTATATCATTGAACATGACCCTATTTTGTGACACTTTTGAATGAGAGGCAGGTGATCCACCAGCAGAGCTCTCACTATCTGTACTGGATGATGCTGGATTCTTTGGCTTCTGAAAAGGGAAATATTTAGAAGTTTTATCAAGTTAACTGCAACTAAAGGGGGTTTAGAAAAACAGATCCAAATATCAATGAAAATTTTACACTCCCTAGAATAATTGAGTAAATAAATTATATTAAGCACACCATCCTGATTTTGAATATGATCTGTCAAAATTTTTGTTGTTCCGAATACAAAGATCCAAATTCACATCTGAATTTAAATGAACCGTTCATCTAGTTGTATGATTATTAGTACTATTCTCCTTGGGTGACTGTTTCAAGTGCCAAACTAGCTACACTTGCAAACAGATCAGTTGTCGAGAGGATAAATTGCTACCATATGAAGATCAAAAGGTTCCGCATTTATTAACCATCACCAAGCAATTTCAAGATATCTTCCGATCTTTCTACACTGTTTAGAGGTTAGCAAATATTATCATAGGTTATTAGAAAGATATAAAGCTCTTCTGACTACAGCCTTTACCAACATTTTAAAGGCTCTTCTAAACATGACACCTGTGGTAAAAGAATAGAAAGGGATTGATTCCACTAGCCCAGTCTCTCTGCAGATGGATGGATTAAAACATAAAGGACATTTCCATTTAGCAAAGTGCAAGTCCAATGCATGGCAGTAGCAGCCTTCCAGGTTTCAAATTAAAATAGGAAAGCAGTGACAATGTCTCAGCATCCAACCAAAGGTCTCAAATGCTTAAATTTATTAAATTGCACTATTGGGTGGAGATGCTTATCCCATATACATGGCCTTAACTCCATACAAAACCAATGCCAGGATTTCTCTAGCAGCATCTGAATGAAAAACAAGGACAAACTAGGTGCTACTAGGTGTAGTCCATGCATGTAAAATAAAAGTAAAAGGAAAGGAAAAGTGGCTTGAGGAAACTTGAGAGCAGATGCACAATATATCAATGAAATCCTATAATTCTCTCTTTACAACCAATATAAATCATAACAAACCAACTCCATCTCAAATTGAACATTCATGGAAAAGGTCATCCTTTAAAGCACAAGAACTTACCTTCAGTTTAAACCAGCCGAGCATCCCCTGCCTCCTGTTTCGTTTAAAATCCTTCACCAATTCATCTAGATCAGCGACCTCATCTCTCCCTTCTACAGAAAGCTCAGAAGCATAGCTTCCAACATCTTCTTCTGTCATGTATTCCCTTTTCCTTTCTGGCAAATATGCCAGCTGTGCAAACAATATAATCAAGAATCTATAAACCATGCCATCTTGATTGAAGATCAGAAAGCTGCTTTCATGCAAACTAAGCTTAAGAACAAATAACAGACCTCATCTTCCCCAAATGAGTGCCTTCTTCTATGACCAGGTCTTTCAGGAAGACTTGATTGCATGGCATTTTTTGTGGAAACTAAGATGAGTTTAGTCAATCGCTGAATTCTTCCCATTAAAGCTGCCTTGTCTTGTTCCTCCTCTTCCAATCTTGACTGTAATTTGACCTGACCAGCTTCCAGCTTTGACCACAAGAAATTACATTTCAGAATTGTAGAAAGAAACACTACAAGAACAGAATCCACATGGCAATTGACTAATTATATTAGGAAAAGAAAACTTTGTATGGGAGCCAATCAGCCCAGAAGGGATTGGAATTGTAGCAAATAAAATTAAGAAAAGAACAAAAATGCAGTATCATACACCATGCTAGGATTAATGGAAGTTGATGATGTCCATGTATTGCTTGTTTCATAATCACATAATCCCTTGATCACATATTTAAGGTCCATTCTAAGGAGATAAATTAAATTGTTTGTGTTAGAGTTGAAAACACCAATTTCCCAAATTATCACTCAATAAATGTCTGTAATTCTATAAATTTCTCACCCACACTGTATAAAAACATGATTACATACATTCTTTATATAATTATCTAACTTTTACAGGACATGGCAAAAGGAAATATAGGTTCTAATTATGAAATGGGAGTGACTGATTGTCAACCAGAGCATTAGCAACAACTGAAAAAAAAAAAAGATTTTGATAATAAAGAATAGAAGTCCTCAAGAACAGCAAAAACCTGAAGCTTCAAATTAACCAGATCTTCTTGGGTAGATGCAGCCGCATAAGGATTCTCCACCATTCCACGCTTTAATTGCTGAAGCTCTTGCTTTAAAAAGGAAATTTCCTTCTGATACCTTTTTATGAGAGACTTCTCATCCAAAATCTAAGAAATGTTTTAAGAAATGAAAGAAAATTATGAAATAGCAGCCTTTTAATTTAAGCACGCTTAACATGAACATTGATCCCAAAACTCACCTTATTTTGAGAAGCCTTGATTTCTACTTGCTTGCTCCTGTGTGCAAACTTAAGTGTGTTGTGTGTCTCTTCACCGTTGCTAGAGGCAGGTGTCACTGTGCATATGAGCTACATGAAAGTTTGCAAAGGAAATTTAGTAAAAACTAGCCCGTTGCTTGCGCTACGCAACAGGTTCGGTAAAATAAAATCATTTTAAAATTTTAAAATAGAAATTTTTTATTTATGCAATTTTTTTCTAATGTTTTTTATAAATTTTCTGCTTCAAAAAAACATAAATCTTCTTCTTTATCGATTGATTTTAAAATAAAAAATTATAATAATTTTAACCAAAATATTAATAAAGAATCAAAAAAAACTTTTAAAATATAATTTTCATGATATTATATTTCAAAAAATAAATTTATAATTAATGAACAAACTTTTACAAAAATTAATAAATGAAAAAAAAATTATTGAATGCTGATGAGAAGATTATTTTTTAAAATTATATGCACAACGTTACAAGTTGATAAAACAAAATCATTTCAAAATTTTATAATTTTTTTATTAATTTTTTATTTCATTATAACTATTTTTTATGTATTTTTCATAAAATTTCTACTTGAAAAACATGATTTATTTTTCTTTATTCAGGGATTCTTAAATAAAAACTTATAATAATTTAAACCTGAAATATTAATTAAGAATTCAAAAACAAATACTTTAAAATTATATATTTTTTTATAAAAATGTATCCAAAAAATAAAATTACAATTAATGCATAAATTTGCATAAAAATTAACCAATTCAAAAAATAAAATTTTGTTCTCATTTAATGTAGGTGAGAAGATTTTTTTTTTTCAAGTATATGCATTTGATCTATATATATTCATTACAAAATAATCAATAAAATTAACATAAAAAACTATATTTGAATAATTGGTTAGTTCCTTTAAAAAATTATTTTACTTATTTTATTTCAAATAAATTGGTTCTATAATGATAAAAAAAATATTCATAGTAAATAATTTTTATTATGTTGGAAGATGTATAATTAATTTTAATATAAAAATAAGAGTAAAAATTAACTTGATGTGAATTTTTATAATAAATTGAAAAAATCAATTTTAAATAATAAGAATAGTATATATTTATTCTAAAATCTAAAAACATATCGTATATATTATTTAATCGTCAATTTATGTAGAAAAAAATAATTATATTGGAAGATGTATAATTAATTTTTCATATAAAAATAAGAATAAAAGTTAAGTTGATGCGAATTTTTATAATAAATTGAAAAAATCAATTTTAAAAAGTAAGAATAATATATATTTATTCTAAAATCTAAAACCATATCATATATATTATAATCGTCGGTTTATGTGAAAAAATAACGATTGATTTTTAAAAATTTTAACACCAAATTAAATTTAAAAAAAATATAAATTGACGAAAAAAAAAAAGTAATGCATCAGCTAGAGGGTTAAAATTTTTATTTTAAAATTTTAGGGACTACAATGAAAATCTAGAAATTACCCCTACCAAACCCACCCCCCCCCCCCTCCCTCTCTTCATGAACAAGGAGGATAACATTGAAACAGAAAATGTAATGTCAACCCCTTCCCCATAACCACAAGTAAACACAAAAACCTGATAACTTCCAAGTCCTAATAAATATGAATAAACTATTTTACACCAAAAAAAAGTTAAATTGCAGCTAGGAAAAGATATCAATCGTATATGAATGCTAAAAAATCTGAAATATTCTGTTGAACGTACAGAGACACGCCCATGGCCACTGAGAGATGACTGCAACAAACGGGTGAGTTTTGAATCTCGATATGGAATGTGAGTTGCTTTTCCATCTGTTAGTTTAGAAATAACCTGCAAGGAAAGGCAGTGATAGTGCCAGGTCAAAATATCTGAAGTTTATTATATGAATTAACAATCAGGATATAAAAGGACTTAAATAAAGTTCCCCAGCCCTACAGCACATTCTACACAACCATAGTCAAGAAACCATCTACTTCATGTCCTAACAAGTTTTAAAAGCTTTGCCAAAGTCATCAAGATTTAGTTTTATGATGTCCAAACTATTTTTGGTATTCATTTATAATTGACTATCATCAGCTCAAAATTAACCTAATCTGGCATTGACCAATAACCATTGAAAGTTCAACCAAGACTCACTCTACCAAAGGGCAACAAAGCTTGAACAACAAATTTAGCATTAACAGTCCCAACTTCTAAGCTATTGGGACATTGCACAAAACAGAAATGCAGTCATGTTCGCAGGTTGGAATTTGGTTTCGATATAAATGTAACACATTGGAAATAAAAATGTCAAGATAGCTAAGAGCAACATCTTACTGTGCCAAGAGTAAGTAAGCTTTTATTTATGTACGAACCCTCTTTTCTCCGCAATCCAGTTGTTTCAGTTTTAGAACTTTCAGATCCTGCAAGATCAATTAAGTTCTGCAAGGAATTTAAGTCATGTAGGCCACTCATCATCAGACTGTGATAAACAGAAAAATTGTAGTCAAATATATCAGACAACCGGAGCTACCAATTGGGACAAAGTCACTTCTTCTTCCTCTTGATTTTCCCCATGTGGACTGCTTTCAATAGTCTGATAAATAATGACACATTAAGTACAGCAAAAATAAAATCTAGAGAAAAATAAGAAGCCATTCCATGAAGGTCAAATTAGTCAAACAAACTTTAAATGATGCTATATGTAATCAGCATGTTTAGTTTTACGAAGTTCAACTCTAGCTTCAAGAGGCAGTAACAAAGAGGAAAAGGGGATTAAACAAAGCAAGAGCCTGGGGAACTTCATAAACTGAAAATAGAAAATAGATACCAAAGTGAAAATTGTGTGGCTTCGACTGCTTAGAAGATTGAAGTTATTAGAACCCACATGCCTATGCTCTGCAACAATCAGATAGCATGTAATTAAAGAGGTGCCTAAATGCAAAACAACAAATATCTGATAAACATATGGGAACTAGAACAATAAAATAGGACAACTAAACACAAGACATCATAACGTCTAAAGAAAGCAAACTGATAAAACAACCGTATAAGGATGCACTGCATGAAAGAGATCAAAGGAAGCACATCGAGTGGAAGTGATGATGTTTAGCAGCTAAATGCGTGTCAGTGCATACAAGTTCTGAGGTCAAGTACCTTCTCCAGATGCTATCAAAGAAAGAGCATGAGCAGGTGACAAAACAACTTCCTCCTTGATTCCCTCAACATATGTTCCCTAGTGACATAATAAAATGCACCTTAAAATAGCAAGCTCTCAAATAATTGACAAATCAGGCTCTGTGCATCACAATTTAAAAAGGCAGAGACATTCAATTTTTAGTTGCTTTTGTAATTCTCTTTTGCGATTAATACAATTTTCTCTTATCTAAAAAGAGTGATAAATACCATACAAGCAATGCAAATTTTTCATCAAAAAAAGCAAATAAATATTTCAGGAACAAGTTGAAGGGCATGCCAAATTTTGATTTTAGTTTTCGAAACAATTCAGCTAATGGCAACAACTTGTTCTTGCATCTGCAGCTTGAAATGCAATTTCAAAGAAGTTTTTGCCTCCATGTCAGTGACTAGAGTTGGGGTGATGGGTCAATTTGATATATTCATGAATCAACAAAGAAACTCCAATTGGACAGATAATTGTAGAAGATATATGCAAGGTACATCCTTATTTGTATACATGATACTGAAAGCAAATAATAGAGTTGAGAAGTCAGGCAGGAAGTAAATCGCCAACACTGAGGTGCTCCAGGCAACTTCCCACAAAAGGTTTTGTCAACTTCATCAAAAGCGATCATATTGTAGAGGCATTTCAACAACTTCGTATATCCATCTTGATAAAACAGCAAATAATCAGACGGTGTAAAATTCCCAGATTGAAATATAAGCACCTGCACATCCTCTCGTATTCTTAGATTCTGCCCCATTGGATTAAGCAAATCATTGATGACCTAGGGGAAGAAAAGGAAAGTCAGACTGGTAACAGCAGATGCTGATCATGAAGACAAGCAATTCATTCAAATTATGACTTGGCATTTATTTTTGATGAGATGGTAGATCGTAAAAAGAAAATAACTAGATTTAACTGTGATACCGTTTACATAGGTAAAATACATAAAGCATATCTAACATTAAAGCTAGAAGAACAATTTACAAGCATCTTTTGCTTTACTTCAATCAGTAACAATGAAGATTTATGCCCATTGGTGAACAAGTAGTAAAATCCACTATCAATGCAAACTAGTGAAGAGTATTTTAATGGAAATTGGAGCACTTTTATAAGTAATGAGTCATACGCATGGACTGAAAACAGAAATTAAAAGCCAAGGTGTGTTGGGTTTACTACTAATAACTAGTAAGTCTCAACAATCGATAAAATTCATGGGAAGTAAAAGTGATATTGACTGACCTCATTGTAAATTTCTAGATATGAAACGCGAAGAAGAAATTCTCGCCCGGTGTCTGATAATGAATATTTTAAATAGGTTGGAGACCAAAATATTCATTTCAATCACAAATAATAACAGGCAAAGGAATCAACTACCTCTTGTATGATTCCAAACACATCCTTCACTGCCAGCGGAATAATTCCAGGTGACTTTTGCTCTCCCTGCAAAAAGGAAAGGTACAAGTTTGCACCACAATAATTTACAACCGGATACAGAAAAAATTAAAGCCAGCCAATTCTGTGCAACAGTCTTATTAGATGGCTTATTTTTTCTCGACAGCTGGGCTAATCATGATTTCATGTCAACCTTCTCCCTTTGTTAAAATTCAGAAAAAAATGAGAAAAAAAGAATGATACAGAACATAAGTTCACCAACTTTATGAGTAACAAAATGCTAAATGGCCATGTCAGCCTCCCTTGTGGAAGGAACAGGATGATGCATTTCATTCTCTAGTCTGAAACTTTCTCTAAGTGCAGTTAAAACCACAAAAAAACAAGTAGAAAGTAACAAAGGAAATCAGTTTCCACGGTCCTAACTAGCATCAAATGCTACCATGGCAGCTATCTAACGCATCAAATGAAAGGTAGGCCATTATGAGGTCCCAGGAAAAATGCTGGGGAAAACATGAAAGTCACAAATTCTGGACATGTGATCAACAGTTAATAACTTACATGCATCGTATGAGTCTTGCCACTACTAGTAACACCGTATGCAAACACAGTCCCTGCATAAAACCAGAGCATTTCATACATTTAGCAATGCATTACCAAAAACAGCCCTTCCAGATTTGAAACAAATACTGACATCACATTACAAACAAGAAACTCAGTCACTATTTATAGCTATCAAATACAACCACCTTACAAAGTACAGTTATCACACTATAATATCCGTACTTTTTGCAAGTTATAAAACAAATAAAATAGCCAACATTCCATCTATCATTGTGAACCACCAGTTGCATTTTAGTTGATTGAAAATCAATTCAGTTGGTTCCATTCAAAATTACATTTCAGTAAACTGAAAAGAGTTAGGTTCAGCAAGAAGATAGTTACCATTAATTCCTTGCATTGCACCACTAACCACACGCTGGGCTGCAACATCATAAACATGGCGCGTTGTTGTTGCCGGACCAAATACTTTATCTGCAATCAGATAAATTAAAACAAATCCAATTTTTTAACGGCAAACTAACAGGACGAGATAACATTTTCAGAAAAATTATAACTAATCACAATATTATCTTCCAACTCATTAAATTTCTAATTTAAGGCAAAGCATTTTATAACATCATAAGTGAAAATAAGAATTTAGAGCTAACCAAAACCATAAGCAATTGAAGGATTGTACTCATTTCTCACTGCAGAATCTCCATCTGCATACCATGCTATCTCGTCTCCTTTATTAATTTCCCTAGCACTAGAAACACAAACACAGCGTCACTAACAGCTAAACTACAGTCAACGGACCAATCACTGCAAGTCATCAGAACCAAAAAGAAAATGTCATATAAACGGTGTTGGTGCACCACCTGAGAGGGCGGAACCTGACGGTGACCGTCACATTTTCCTTGCTCCTGCTGATATCAGGCCGGTCATGGGCCGTTGTGCTTGGGCTTGGGCCTAGACTAATCGGAGAACTTGACAATCTCGAGGGAGGCCTCGACGAAGTCGTCGAGGAAGGAGTTAACGGTCGTCCCGTGGACTTTGAGGCCGTTGGCGGAGGTTGCGCCTGTGACTTCCGTGAACGGAACGGCGAGATGGTGGAGGATCGTTGGGACCTACTAAATGACATGGAGGAGAGAGGGATTTCTAGAGAGAGAAAGAGAGAGGGAAATGGCAGTGGGGGTTTTGGGATTTTTTAGAGAGGGAATAAAATAAAGAAAAGGAGGTCAGGTAGAGGTCACATGCCGGCCAACCCAAGGGTGTTTGTGTTTTCTGTATGTGCCGCCTTAACCTTTTGGACTTTGTTTGGCGCCCATTGTCAAGACGAGGGGGCTACGACCAGCTTTTTAATTTTTCGTCAGAATCGTTTGTTTTTGAGGAGAAAGTTTGGGTTTTTTAGTCCATCAAAAGCAAATTTGGTGTGAGTCGTGTCCTTGAATATGATGGATCATTCATGGACGGTCCCGATTGGATGAATGTTTCTTTGTGTCTCATTTGCTCTAAATTTCTTGTGACATAAATTGAGGACTTCCAAAAAGAGCTGTGAAAATAAAATGCTCATGGACTTGATTTTTTTTTTTTACAATGATGCCTGTTTTGAATTAATGAATTGTTTTTTTTTTTTGGGTGCTACCTGCTATGTGTTGAATGAATGATGATGAGAGGTTCTACCACTGCTTTTATTTTGGAATTTTTACAAGGATGTTTTATATTTTAATTAAAAATAAAAACAGGGTGGAAAAATCGAAATACTAATAACTTTTCGGTGCAATGTTCCAACGTTTACCTAAAAATAGGATTTTTTTATGATTATTATTATGTGTGTTACTTTTATATTAGTGAAGGAGCATATCCATTGAGAAATAGAGACGACAACATTTAATTAAACATCAATAAAACTAGATTTTATAAAATAGATACGAAAATGTGCGAAGAGAAATGACAAGGGAGTATAATTTTAATTTCTCATGAAGAAAACAAACAATTTGAGAGGACAAACCTATAATCCTGAATCTGCATCTCTGCATATACAGGCATTTTGCGACGAAATACCTTAATGTTAAGGTCAACCCAAAGCTTTCTCACGGTCGTCCCCATATTCAAAGCCAATAATAAAAGTTATATAATTCTCGAGGGCAAAAAAAAAAAAAAAAAAGTGTTATAGTATAGTACTATGTAAAAGTCAAGGTAAGGTGACCCACAACGGATTCTGCTAATTAAAGGCCTCAACAAACGCTTCATCTTTTGTTAGCCATGCATTCTCGTGGTCAGAGTGACTCTCCTGTTTCTTTCCCTATTTCTCTCCCTCTCTTTCTCATGGTAGATCATCCTGACATTCTAGGCATACCAACAGGTCCCCCCATTTCTGTGAAGAAAAAGCAAACTTCCAATTTTGAAGAATTTTGCAAAGCCTATTTATCAATATTCACCGGATGGTGTCGCGTTAATAGAAAATTATCTCCAACTTCTTCAGGCAGAGATGAATTAGATGCAAATTCTGAAGCCACAAGCCAAGCCCTTGAGGTAGATATACTTCCATGCATAAACTTTACAAGAATGATATTTTCCGGAATTTTTTTTTTTAATCATCTCTTGAATAAATTGGCATGTGGAAATTGGTATGTATAGATTCCAGATCCAAAAATTTCATTAAGATGTTGATCGTAAAAAATAATATAAGCAAAATTCAAATCCATCACGAATATTGCGTATCCTCACGTTAGCGGAATTTCCAGGAACATGGTTACCACAGTGAAGACGAACAGAAGATGAATGGAATCCACAGTTTTAGACACAATGCTGATAGTATGGGAGGTGACAATCCTTCGAGTCCAAGAGGATTCTTCAAACATAAAAGCACGGATGGCTGCTTTCCTAATATGTCTTCTCCTCTGTCAAGAAGTGGAAGCCGAAAGAGTCCTTCTCGAAGATTATCTTTCCTAAAGAGAAATATGAGTCGGAAAAGTACCGAATCACATCATGGGTCGTCTGCATCTCTCTCAAGAAATGCAAGCAGGAAGAATCCCAGCACCATCATGTTTTCAAACTCAATGGGAAAGATGAAACCTCCGGCCATTGAAAGGCCTCTCGAGTGCACGCTTGAGGAGTTATGTTATGGTTGCATGAAAAAGATCAAGATAACAAGAGATGTCATTACAAGCACAGGGTTTGTTCCTATAATACTATGTCCTAACTTCATCGTTTATTGATTTTTTAAAATTTTTTTGAATTTTTATTGTGGTTCTCCTTGATAACATGATTTACGATTAGATCAGGTTTCAAGATTGTGATTCTTCATTTCCTATCTGCTAAATCTTAAAATCCATAAAACTAGTACTTGGGTAAAAAATTGATGTTGTTTGGCCGAAAAATATAAGTCTCGGATTGCGGGGAAACACCCAAATTTTTTCAGAAGATATGTACATTTATTAGGGAATTCTTTAAGTCATGTGAAAGACGATTGAAATAGGTTGAATTAGAACCAAGAAAAACATCACCATCTAGTTTATTGATGACGTCTTCATTGTTTCTGGCAGGCAGATAATTCAAGAAGAGGAAATGTTAACAATAAAAGTGAAGCCGGGATGGAAAAAGGGAACGAAGATCACATTCGAAGGAATGGGAAATGAGAGACCTGGCGCTTGCCCAGCTGATATAATATTTGTGATTGCTGAGAAACGACACTCTTTGTTTCGCAGGGAAGGAGACGATTTGGAAATAGGAGTAGAAGTTCCACTAGTGAAGGCTCTAACTGGTTGCCAAATTTCAATCCCTTTGTTGGGCGGTGGGAGAACGTGTTTGATGATCGATGACATCATTTACCCTGGCTATGAAAGGATCATAGAAGGTCAAGGTATGCCAAACACAAAAGAGCAAGGAAAGAGAGGAAATTTGAAAGTTGTCTTCCTAGTAGAATTCCCTGCAAAACTGACGGATGAACAGCGGTCAGTTATTCTTAGTATTTTAGAGGGTTCTTCTTGAATCATCAAGCTTTCCCGAGGAGTCAAAATCCATTCTTTCTCTTTTGTAGTTACAGTTTGATGCCCAAATCCAGTTGATCATCGTAAAATATACTTAAGAGTCTCTATGGAAAACCTCTTGTCTAGCATCTGACCAATATATGGTTGTCAATAGTTGTAGATTCATGATAGTTTATGTATTATCCATCCCCATTGAATCACTTACAACATCACCTGCTGGGATAAGGATCTAACTCGCAACTTCTTAGAAATACAATGCTACCGGATGCCACTTGGCTACAATTAAGCAAAATTTTTATTTACTGTTGTCTCGTTCTCAACTTTGCAATCAGTCATTGATTCCGTCCATGAAGTTTTGACGAGCTAATAAGGTTGCAGATTCAAAGGATGCTTAGCGGTTCGAAAAAAAAAAAAATGAAGATCCAAAGGATGCTTCCCTAAATATTCGTGTTGATCAATATAGGCCTTAATGTGTCTGTTCTAATCCCATACTTCCACATTCTTTCAGGGTCATTCCAGAGCATCGCACTAAAAAAAACACTAACATTGTTCCAGCATTTTCAGCTTACAGACCAGATTTGATGTTGGATGCTCATTTTTCTTAGGCCACTAATCCATTATACCACAATAAGAAAACAAAAATTTTATTCATCAAAAGGTATAACTGAAATTGCTTTCACAACTTTCGTTCTTGTTATCAATCAATGTTCCAACTTTAATTATGCAAGAAGAAAAAAATATACAGTGATTAAGCTTACACTGAAGACAGCACGCTATCTTCTTAAACTTAAGACAAGCCAAGCAGAGCGCGAAGTATGGTCAATACATTACCAGTGATTAGAGCCTTCATCAATGTTAGCTTTCTCCGTGTATATGGTGGATATCTCACAGCTGCATCACCAACAAAACTTCGATACAGAACTGCCTTCTTGTGGGTAAAAGCATCAAAGGAAAATTTGCCGTGGTATGAACCTGTTCCACTCTCGCCCACACCTCCAAATGGCACACTATGAACTGCAAGCTGCACCATCAAAGAACATATTAGGTAAAGATATTAGATGAACATTCGGTTAATGATATTAAATCACAAATTTCCAGAGCGGATATATGTAAAGATGGAACAAATGACAGTTTTGGACCAAGTATTCAATTATCCAAAAGTCCTAGTCCCTCTCTCGCACATAATTGTGGTCCATGGTTCACTATCATGGTAACTCCCACTTCATGTGAAAAGGAGTGTGTGCCAGAATCCTTCATAAGTACTGTTGAGCGCCAGCGGCACTCATTAATCCCCAGCAACCACCACCACCCCCAACTACAAGTGTACCTGGGTAATGACCACAGAGACTGGGACTGCTTGTGTACTATGCATATATGCAAGGATGTTTATGCACCAGGTTCTGAAAGTTCAAAGAAGAACAATTACATGCAAAGCAATGTCATTTATGACCACACCCCCTGCAGAAACAGACATCACAAACTGCTCCTTCAGCTTCTTGTTATTGGTAAATAAATAAGCTGCAAGTGGCTTTGTTCCTGAATTTATCATATCAAAGCTGTCCTCAATTTTGCTGACCTGTTTGAACCAAAAAACAAAAGAAATCATAATTGACATCCCAGATTTTATAACAAGAATTCTGTAACTACCTATTGAATTAAAATTTCTATTCTTCAAAAAATTACTATTGTCCAGATAACAGTAAAGATTAATCGTTCTTCTTCTTCTTTTATTATTTACAAAGGCAGCAGAAAATTACTCCACTAAAGTGGAAGACAACCTCCTAGCCAATGTTGATCAACCAACAAATGCCGAGAGAATATCTAGAAAACCGATGTTTTTGCTATTCATAGTAATAATTACTCTGCATATATAATTACAGTGCTATCACTTCTGCCCAATGTAAAGAGAAGCTCCTCCTTTGATGTTGTAGAAGCAGTTTAGATTTAGTTTTATGTCCTACTTCATATACTCCCCATAAAATAATAAAGCCATGAGCTGATGATCTCTTGATGCTTACAATGAAAATGGGAAGCAAAGGACCAAATATCTCTTCTTTCATTATCAGAGAGTTTTGTGGGACGCCCAGCAATATGGTGGGAGCAATTCTCCTGCCATTGAAGAAAAGATTTGTCAATGAGAAGCAAATTGCACCCAGCTAAACTAAATTAATGAACCAAGAAAATGGCAAGCAGATACTCACAGGTTGGCTTCATCTCTTTCACCACCATAGACAATCTTCCCAGAAACCTTATCGTCATCCAGTAGCTTTGTCAATCGAGCAAAATGACTGGAATTCACAATTCGAGATAAGTCTTTTGATTCCAAAGGGTTCTTTCCATAAAATGTTTCTAGTTCTTTTTTCAGAGAGCCCACCTGTACCACAGAAGGAATTAATGAATGACTGAAAAACAAAATGGAAAAACAAAGAAAAAAGAAATGAATGCTAGAACTCAGCATTACCAGCTTCTCAGCACAATCTTTCGTTGTTATAATGTAATCCGGAGAAATGCATGCTTGTCCATTATTACACCCCCACTTGCCTACAATTATCCGCCTAGTTGCAACCTTGGAGAAGCAGGTAGATTTGTGTCAGAACATGACAGTAAGAGGAAACTTATGGTGCCTTAACTAACGGCATGCTGAAATGAACATGGAGAAAATGACACTGATTACATGCACATGCAAAGGGGTGCAATGAGCTCTTTACCTGCATATCGATATCTGAATCGACAACAACTGGAGATTTTCCTCCAAGCTCCAAAACAACTGGTGTCAGGTGTTTTGCTGCAGCACCCATGACAATCCGTCCTACTCTTCCATTGCCTGTAAAATCAAGGATGACATGTTTTAGGTTTCAAGCTTGGATTTAAGTAAGAAAACACAATTTAATATGTTCTTAAACCATTAATTTCGTTTCCTCTTTTACCAAAAGAATAACTGAATGTTCCGTAAACTGGGAACCCGTTGAATTGTTTCTTTATGTTTTCCTCTTTCTAGACTAATTATTTGAGACATAAAACCATGCTCTTCAAATGAGACAAACAATAAATATAGCAGTAGCTCAAAAGGGCACGTTTTGAATATCATATTCAACAGATTGGGAGAGCAGAATATTCTGAGCAGCATTGTCCTAAGACAATAGCAGCATTGCTCCACATAAGCAACATCCCAATGCAATGCATTTTATCACTCTAGAGCCTAAAGAGAAACATGTCATCCCTAGGCAAAAGATGTATTACATGGTGTACCATTATAATAGCAAGTCCAAGAGATAGCATTCTAACCTCTTCATAGTCTATTTAAACCCCAAGACCATGAGAAGCTTTTGTTATTCAGAAACGTAACAACCTCATATAAAGGAACCGATTTATAAAAGATGTGGATTCTACAGTGCCCTTCCACCAAAATTCAGTTTATAAGGTTTAAGTACAGCAATCCGATAGACAAAATTACTTCTTTAGGGGAATACAGAAGCTACAGCCATCAGGTGATAAAATAAGAACACAATACCAATATTACCGGGAAAAGACTTTTCACATTCTCACGATGATGGTTGACATGGGACATTTTGAAACACCAAAGATTATAGAATGCACTATGACAACTATGTCAAACAGATCAAAAAAATTTCCCCTCACACATGATTCTGTTTTAGATTTGTATAATGCAGAATGGAAGTTTCTAATCTCTTCTGCCTTGTCTTCTCGCATATTTACTATGTATGCTCAATATGCTTGAGGGTTACTCCCTTTTCTGTCAATTTAATAAATTACACTTGTCCAACCATGTCAATCACAGAAATGCAGAAAGGACCTCTAAGACTTGAACCAGGGGACTGAGTTCAAACCTTTCCAAATACCTCAGAAAAAGAATTCTGCAACTTGTTCAACATCTAACAAGATGTTGCTTATATCACTTCAGAGAATTGTAAGAAGATAAGAATATGATTTCTTTTGTGTTGATTTACCTCCATATATTTCTGTCCGTAGAACAACTTAACAATTAGACTTCAAATGCATATAGAAACTGAGGAATGAACAAGAACCTGTATAAAATATTTTGTCCCACTTTTGCTCCAGTAGTGCAGAAGTTTCAGAAACAGCCCCCTCGACAACCTTTACCGAAGAGCTATCCAAATACTCTGGAAGTAGTTTTGCCATCAGTGAGGATGAAGCTGGAGCTAGTTCTGATGGTTTTAAAACCATAGCATTGCCTGCTGCAATAGCTCCAACAAGTGGATCCAGAGACAACACTAGAAAAAGAGAAATTAGATTTGATTATTATATTATCAAGTGATAGATGCGAAGAAATATAGAACTTGTTCTATGAACATACAGAAAGGGTAATTCCATGCTGAAATAATCAACACAACACCCAGTGGTTCTGATACTATTTCAGCTGATGAAGGAAAAGTTGTCAAAGAAGTTTTTGCCTGCCATGAAAAAAGATATCGATTGCACTCAACTCAATTACCAAAAAAATCAAATTTGTAAACAAACGACAAATAGTGAAGCAGTTATTCAAAACAACTACCTTTTCTGGCATCATCCAATGTTTCAGTTCTTTAAGAGCCAATGTACAAGAGTTTTTTAGCATAGTTAACTGCATAACAAACCATCGATCAACTTTTGAGGAAACTGGCATGAAATTCACATAGAACTTTATATAATATGAGTTAGTTTATGAGAATATTCAGATAGCTAGATTATTCGAATTTATATAAAATACAGCAGCTTCCATTATTCTCTTTTCACATGCACAAAGATGCAAGTGCTGGCACATGCACACACACCCCAATTCTTTCTTCATCCGTCCATTCAAAACTAATTGTACCAAAAAATCCCATCCCAAATTCCACTTACAATCGGATTGCCACTATACTAGGGCAAACAAAGTTGAACTGAACAAGGTCCACAGGTTTGGGCACCAACTCCACAATTAGAGTCACATACAATAAAAATCTGCGTTTCATGTCTTTATCGACATATTATTTCAAAATTAGCATCATATTTATTCAGACAAATTTCTTTTATCCTTTGTTATTTTATTTTATTTTTTAATACTATCATGAATATCTGGAATCCTAGGTATCAATTATAGCTTGTAAATTTCTGTCAAAGTAATACTAAAGTATAGTAATATAACAGACATCGTATCTATCTATAAATGCCTGAGTCCTGTAAGTTTCCTCGAATGCCACATATTCACCTGCGGATCATATTCTAGTCAGAGACCAAAACTAGTCAGGAAAAGGAAAAGTGGCATGTCATTAATGCTTCTCTCGTAAATACAGGACCACTCCTACCCAACATTGAATGAGACTGAAATTAATGTTCATAGAAAATAAGACGTGAAGGAGACGGGATTCAATAAAACCGAAGTACACCATCAAATTAAGAGCCATAAAGTAAGGAATTCAGATCATAACACGTTTCTAGTCAAACAAACAAAGAAAAAATTAGAAACAGTGGGAAAAAAGCAACGAGGTTGTTGTGATTTCATTACCCTGCAACTACAGTAAAAATCATCAGTTACTGGTTCCTCGACTCTAACAGAAATTCAATAATAATAGAGAGATACTAATTCTGCATAATCAATCTTTCCAGTTAAAAAACAGTTGCTAACGCATAAAAAAAAATCACATCACGTTCAAGAATATCATTTAACCAAAACAAAATCAATAAAGGATTGTAAAAAATAAAATAAATAAGCTGAGCCTGAAATATTTCAGACCTCATAGACGATGGATTCAAGTTCAGGCTTGGAGAGATCTTGACGGAGAGCATCAGCAATGTCCTCCTCGTGGTCATCGCACATCTTAATAATACTCTTCAACTGAGATATTCTCCATTCATAACTTCTTGTTTTACCAGAAGCAAAAACGTCTCTCAGTTCCTTGTTTAACATATTCGCTGCATCCATGTCAAACACCGTCTTCTGCTCCTCCACCGTCGCCATTTCACCAATCGATAGATACAAAGAAAAGAGCTTTGCTTCTTGTTTATTGTATAGATGATGTGTAATGTGTTTTGTTCAGATAAACAAAGGAAAGGAGACTTTGTTTCTTTTTGTTTGGATTGGACGGGATAAGGAATCACGTAGAGTAATTCAGCGTTTAAATGGGAGTAGAATATAAATGCGATACTGTCGTTAGTAGCCGCTTATGCGAGGGACTCACGCCCCGTGTGCAAATCAATTTTCACTCGGGCCGTGTTTTTACGCGATTTTAAAGCGCGTCTCATGGAGGGGCCTGTTTTGGTCTTGATTGCAGCGCAACAACGAATTTGTGTGTGATTGGTTTGAATTTGGAACTTCGGAGTTTGGATAGACAATCAAGCAAAATAAAAGTTTAGTAAATTCTATAGCAATTTGAATGCGGAAAGAGTTGTATTCAGCTCTTGTTGTAATTACGAGATTCATTATAAAAATAACTTATAAATTTTATATTTTTGAGACAACGAAATACAGGACTGAATGTACTCTGAATAATTCTTTAATTTTACAAGCAGTGCCGCTGTTTGATACAATGCTGATGCAACTCATTGAACGACACGTGGGTTTGAACTTCTTAGAATAATGCAAGGTGATACTTGAAACCGGTTACCAGATACAAGATCCTTGTTGTCTGTTCCATGCATTTAGGCTTCGAAAGTGTGCTCTGATTGAAGGCCACTTTTTGCAACTGAAGTCAACTTCTACCATGACGTCAAAGTTTATATTTCATATTAGTCCTTGATTTAGAAAGATTAATTCATAAAATTATATCTTATGTTTAATTAAATTTCGAACCTGATAATTTATCTTTCATACATGTTTTTAATTATATTTTGGACTCGATATTTTATATTTTCTTTCACTTAAGCTCCTAAATTATTATTTATTCAAATTTAAACATTTAGTTAGACTATAAGTTGGACCAAAATGACCAAATTATTTGACTTGATGATTGAGGCAGTTGCTTTTGGATTTAGGATTTTCTTAGTGTTCTCTGGAACATGATATTTACTTGACAAAGCATCACAAAATTAAGCTATTTTGTATTAAATTTACCGTTTATATACTTTCTTAATTTTTGTAATGGAAAATCTATTAAAACAATAATATCGGAATTTTGATATCTATTAAAATATATCCTGAGAAATTATAACAATAATATCGGAATTTTGATTTCTATTAAAACCTATGTTGCGGAATATGGTTTTCATGAAAATACCTTAATTAGTTGAAATAATTCATGCTAGATGCTCGAAAGAATCTCAAAATTTTAGATTTTGGATTGGATAGGTTATTCCAACAGGTTTGGATAACAAACATCTATCAATTTTGTTGACTTAAAATAATAACCTTTAAAAAGGTAGGTAACCAAAAACTGACGAAAAAGAAATGAGCTTGTGCAATGTTTTAAAATTCTACACAAATCACCACAGGTTTTTTAAAATCATGTAGGAAATCTTACTTGATATGACATTTATTGTAATTGGATTAGTTAACACCTATCAAAGATTGACACGTCAATCGGTGTAGTATTGAATAAAAAAAATAGCGTTGATCAGACCTAAAGATGTGTAAAAAATCTAAAATATCTAAAATGAGTTGAAACATATGAAAAAAGATATTTCAAATTCGATAACAAGTCAATGACTTACAAATTCACCAAAGCCAACTCGAAATGTGCATTATTAACTGCGCTTATAAGAGATAAATAATACCCAACTAACGTAGCACTTAAAATATATTGTTTTGCAATATGCTGTCCAGTTTCTTTAACACATAGGGATTAAAAAATAATAATTTTCACCAATTTATCTTACTCGAGGCGGCTAGGGGCTACACTATATAACAAGATCCATTTAATTTATTATTCACTTTTTCTAGTCACCAAAATCCTGTAAAACCACCGCCAAATAATTATTGATCTTTCTCTTTTATTTTAACAATCAAGTTCATACTTGATGGATTTTGAAGCTAATCTTTCAAAATCTCTCTCGATGCTTTTAGAGCAAATTTTAGAGGTAAATTTATTTTCTTTAAATCTAATCTCGTAAATTATTCATCTTAGAAACCTCAAATAAATATTCTCTTTTTATGTTTTTTTTTTTAAACGTATTTGTTTGTGTAGCTGGAATCATGCGAAGAAAATAACTGTTCTTCAAAACGAGGTGGTTGAATTTTGGGATGTAAAAAAATCATTATCCCAATCTATATACTCACTCAACTTGTTATATTTATGCAATCAATTTATTTGTTGATATTTGTATTATGGTTTAAAATTGATTCATTAATCATGTCTGACTCGCTTGAATTTTAGAATTTTTGGATCGTATTGTAAAAATAAATAAGTCGAGCACTCGTGTCATGTAAAAAAAAAAAAAAAGGCTAAACCAAACTAATATATATATATGTGTGTTGATGTGTTTTAAGCCAAAATATTGTATAATTAGGGATGGTAATAGCGGGATACAAAATGAATATTCTTTTTACCCGACTCAATATATACTTATTAAAAATATATAATGGGTATTAAAGTGGATAACGATAAAAAAATTAATTACCCACTAATATGATTTTAACGTATAAGTATCTACTCTTTACCTTATTAATATCTACTAATTTATTTTGATTTTTTTATCAATATATAGAATCTAATTGTATAAACTTTAAAAATTAAGAATTAAAATATTTTTTCAAAAAACTTTAAGACTAAAAAAAAATTATAAATAAATGACTAAAATACCTTTAAAAATAAATTAAAGACCAAAAAACTTTTTTAAAAAAATTATAAAGACTAAAATAAATTTTTTATAAAATTTTTTAATAGGTTACAGTTATGGTATTGTTTTTTTTTAAGAATGGGTTAATGAATCAAATATTCTTTCATTGTCATTCTCTATACAATCTATTAATTTTCTAAATAAAATCAAATACTATTTATTAGAAAACATAAAAACAAGTCAAATCTTATTTCATGCCTAGCCCTTGAAGAACTAAACCGTTAATAAAATAAAATTAAAAACTTGTCAAAGTTCTCGTTCAACTGAGCATAGTAGAAATCTAAATAACAATTAAAAAAAAAAGATTTTTAGGACATTCTAATAACTTTATAAAACCAAGGGCTAAAGTACACAAAGAAAATATAAGCAAATGGCTACCGGTTGATGGTATATGGCTTAGAATCCTTTAATGTTCTGGAGTGTGATATATTATGTTAATTTAATCACCACTTTAATAAATAAATAAGATCTCAATAGCTAATAAATTCTTAATGGATCATTCGACGTATGGAAATTTAAAAAGAAAACGAAGGTTGAAACAAATCCTAAATAAATTTATTTACTGACGTTTGGCAAAATAATTATACTAGACCGTCTATGGATTTTCAACCCTTTGTTAATATTCGTGCTAATATGACATAGAATGTAAAATCAAATTCTTTGCTTTGGGATCATCTTTTTTTATTTTCTCATCCTGGAATCATCTCTTTGCATTCTTTCATCATGCAATGTGCTTCAATTGCAAAACTATTTTAAGCATATTAAAAATTGATTAAAGTATTTCATAAAAACGCGTATTTAACCAAAAGTTTTTTTAAATACTATGTTTGCATAATCTAAATGCCAATTTTAGAACTGTATTTCCAAGCAAAGAAGGCATGTTTGGTCGCAACAAATAGTTATTTCATTTTCTATGATCAGGTTCTTTTCTATCTATAGCCTATTATCTCTCGAGAAAGAGGAGAAAGTGTTCATTTAGTCCTTTCCAAAAAAAAAAATCAACTTTTAAAAATTGAAATAAAAATTATTTTTTACATAATTTTTTTAAGTACGTCATTTATAGTAATTTATTTATTTAAATTTTAATATTTTTCTCGTGGTTTTAAATGAGAAAATTTAACCATCTTGGTGTTTGTTTTTTTATCAACCAATTCGATACGTGTTATCAGTATCAATTAAAAGACCAAAATGTTATTTTCTCACTACAATACACAAGCTGAATTTCATATTTCATTTTTCACTGCTTTCACTTTCTATCTTCTTTTTCTTCTTCTTTTAACGAGGCAAAAAGGCGGGTTTGGGCTTTTTCCAACTGTTCAATAACGAAAAATAATAATACATAAATCTAGTAGCTGAAAATGAGATGACCATGTCAGAAAAGCATGAAAATCTCATCTCAATGACTAAATATCATATATAATCAAACAAGAATTTTAGACACAAATTGAAATTAAATTTAAACGATAACTTTAATAATAATAATAATAATAATAAAATAAAAACAGGGAGAACAAGAGAGACGAAGGGGTTGTTGCCAGTGGAAAAGTTACGTGACAATTTTTTTTTAAAAAAAAACATGGTATTTTTTATTTTAAATGGGATTCAATTTCTCTTTTTTTTTTTATGTTTTTTTTTCTTTTTTAATTTCGAATGAAAAATAGCAAAATCCTAAATCCACCCCGACTCTAAACGGAATCTCGGCCTATATGTGCTAACGTATTCATTATCACTCGATTCGTCAAGAAAAGTGAGTTTTAATAAAAAAAAAATTATGAAAAAACTATGAAAATAAAACATGAAATTGAAAATTTGAAAAAAAGAAAGAAAAAAGGAATGCAAATGGTTGTATTTAAAATTTTAAGTACAAAGATGAAAGCTGAACTATTGGGACTTAATCTACTTGCTGTACATGTAATCCCCACCACTATAATTCCAAATTCATGAAAATAAACAATTGTCGTCAAATTTTTTTTAAAAAAAAAAACCCTTTTTTCCGACATTTGCTTTCCTTCTCCCTTATTTTTTATTTACAACTTTTGGCTTTTCATAATTTCTTCATTTAGAGGGGGTTTTTTTGCCACGTTTCATGACATAGTAAACATGCTAACTCTTAATAAATTGAATCAATAACAAACATTTGAACAGACAAAAAAAAAAGTAGCCTAAATAAGTAAAATTAAAGGCGAG